GAGATCGAAACCTATGGGGACCTCAACTTACTCAAGGAAGAATCAGAAGCCAAGAAAAATGTGAGATGAGTAGCTGTACTGCAGATTTTCATGTATACAGATCTAGCTGAATGGGGCTTAAAGGATTCAGGACTGGTAAAGGAAGTGAGGAATATCATGCTGTCCTGAAAACACTCTTAAAATTTTATCCTCTAATGAAGTGGTTATTTCTCATGTCATAGTGAACATGCAATAAAACAGTAACATGTTATAACTTATTTCTTTATTATCCCCCGCCACGAGGTGAGAGGAGAGATAGGTTTGAGCTCCATCTGTCCGTCCGAAATGAAGGGGACAGATTTTTTCAGAAACCATTATAGATAGGGAAACCATTTTTTTTTTTTAACGAAAACCGTGTTACAATTTGTTACAGAGTTATGGCCCTTGTCATGCGTTTCTTGACTGTATCCCCAAGGGTAGAGATTTTTTTGGGGGGGGGGGGATATTGATGACCTTGTCTTTTTGTTTGAATATAGGACTGTATGGCTTACATGATTAGTATGAATCTCTATATACTCAGACTGAGTCAGAGTAATTCTCACATTGTATGTTGACCTGTTACAGAAACTGATGGAGGATCGAATCACACTTTCGCGTCGCCGTGATGCCTTCAAGAAGCTGATTCAGCAACTCCAGTCTAAGTACGAGGGCCTCAAGGCACAGCTGAATGACAATGAAACATATACACAGGTACAATATTACAGCTTATTATTACCAAGCAGTATCGACTAAAACTTTACATCCCAAACATGTACAGCCAAATTGACAATATATATCCCTATGAATTACGGTCATTGAATTTTGTATTCCTTCCTGAGAACTGAAGAAGATGAAGTAGTACATAATGTATCTATTACATTGAAATACATGCAGTTCTATGCGAAAATGTTCATGATGACTTGTTTCAGCTGTCAAATTTGGAGAGGAAATGGCAGCACCACGAACAGAACAACTTCTCCATGAAAGAATGTATCCTTTTGAAATATCTAAAGTTGTGAACAATAAAAATTATTCTTAATTTTCACCTCATGTTCAGCAGAGTTAATTAATGTGTTCAATTTAGATAATAACATTTCAAAATATTTCCTTAATAAACCAAGTTATCTCTGCACGGACAATGGAGTGCGACTTTGTCCCAATCAGTCGCCGCGTGTACCGAGGACACGAGGACTTCAACATTTTGCTCCAGGACAGACTCGCTGGCAAGCACGCTTTATAGAGTGATGATAACCAGCAACTGTAATCAATTCCAACCTGTTTATATTATTTCATACACAAACCTATTAAGGTGGGAATCTGCAGTTTTATGACATTTTATTAAAACAAAATGTATACTAAATGATGAAGGCGAGTTATATTTCTATCGAGTAAACTTATTGACATAAGTAAAACTAAGAGTATACAAAATAAACTGCTAGCAAAATTCATGACACATTTACAAAGCCATACTTCTCCAAGAGTTCATCTGATAATTCTTCTCTATCATTAGTAGAAATAGTGATTGAGGCAAACAATATGAACAGGTTGAACAATCATTCCATTAACACTTATCTTATGTTCATTGTTGTTATGTCAACTGAACAAATCCGTCCATTGTTAGAATATATTGTGTAATAAATTATTGTCATGTTGCAGTGTGTGTTGTGTCATGTCCTTGGTTATCCTGGGAATTATTCCTTATGTTATGGTAAAGTTAAGAACAAATGGGTTGATCTATATCACTGTCAATAAAATGTGATTCCAAGGACAACTGTGATATACATTATATTCAATAAAGGTGTACATCGCCTCATTTCTACATGTACTTCTGTACTGTCCTCATGGGGATGGACTAATGATTAACATCAACTGATTTGTGTATACTGGTAATGTCATACTTCAAATATTTCTTAATTCTTAAATGGACATTGAGAGACAGGTATTTTGTTGGTCCTCTTGTCCAGTTCTGTCCTCTGTCCATGGAGTCTAACCAGAGTGCTGTTGTCATCACTTCACATGACCTAGCGTAGGTCTCCCATTCCAGAAAAGAAGTTTGTTCATTTCAAAACTAACTTTTCACAATGTTACTCAGATGGCAAAATGTATCTGAAACAGGAAAATTATCTAGGAATTTGTGTTTGTATCCAAATTACGTGTCTATTTGGATAATATGTGGAGATGATAAAAACCTTTTTAGAGAAGAAAACGTATCAATGCAAGTGAAACAAAATGGCAACCTCTTCATACTTGAAGTAATTAGGGGATAACTGATGCGTAAGCGGAGCCGATATAACGTTAAATTTGCAGCTATATAACCACTGGTATACGTCCCCAACAGTCACAGTACAGTTATCCCCATTCTAATTCAACTCATTTTACGCTGGGTTTTTTTCGTGAAAGAAATTCATTATTTAAACCAGGTCAAAGTTCTTCTAGGTCAAAGGTTAATCATATGACTCCTTCAACATTTTTACCATCGCCAGAAAAAGTAGTTCCCTTTTCAAACTTCAATACGTTTGTTACGTGCACACTGACTAAATCTGACAATGATGAATAAATTATAGTGTTATAGCTAAAAGGGACGGAATTATCATGAAACCGCCCTCTAGTTGTCAGAAATGAGCGGGCCTCTGCAAATGATAATGGCCCAGTGGTTCCTAAATGACAATGCCCTGAAAAACAGCGTTACCCCCAATAGTGTAGGGATACATTCAAAGGTTTTCAAAATTATATATGCCGAATATACGGTCGGAAATTTATAGCATTGGTATGTTACCAAGTTGAATTAGAATTAATGTTTCTATACAAACACTGTTAAAACTGTCACTGTTACATAATCAAAATGTAGGCTTATATATTGGGTGCCATGAGTGATTGATTAAGCTGGGATCCCATGCAGTCAGACCAAGAATTAGGAAATGAAATAATATTCATAGATTGCCGTTATCCATGTAGTGACTCGGATACCAGAGCTAGACATGCTTATAGAAGATTGTCATGTTGTATATAATACTGTGTTTATAATATGAACTTAGACTGCAAATATGTATTATTGAAAGTCCTTGAAAGTTTTTAGCACTTGGCTTTGGTTAAAAATAGCATCCGATATCTTGAGCCAATTTGAACAAAGAGCATCTCCAGTCATATTTTAGATTAATCCATTCGATATATTTTGACAAGTAAATTGTATTTGATGAAAAAAATGTAGGGTTGATTGTTTTTCTTTCAAATACTAATTAAAATGTAATTTGACGTTAGTAATTACCTCCCTTTGCTAAAAACTCAACTCCTAAGTCCTTGAGTTGCAGTCCTGATCAGCTTCATGTGCAATTTCATGCTGATCATTTCACTGCATTGATATGAATTTGTCTTTCCATCCATGGTTTGTTGGGTTTTATCTTCACAAATTGGCTATAGGTTTTGTGTTGACACATTTGGTGTTTTCTTTGTGTAGCGCTGCACTCGGCAATATTCCAGCTATAAGGTGGCAGTCTGGAAACAAGTGTAGAAGTGAGCACAGCTCACATACCCCCGCTTCCCACTTTGGGACATGGAAATGACTGATATTGATATATATAACGTGACAAGGATCAGCAGCCCACAAGACTTTCTCCTTGACTCTACTAAACTTTATATACATGTTAGATAATAGTTTTGCCATGTACTGATTACAGTAATCATTTATGGAAACATTTTTTGTTTTCCGTGGAAACCTGACATACAATGGACTTGTTGCACACAATGAAGGGGACGTAGATGGAGATCGTTTATTTTTAGCACATGCCATATCTGTGGGTCATGATTAACTTGTGTATTAAGTTTGGTGAACCTAGCATGTATAGTTTCGATGATATGCTGTGGCCAGGTAACCATCAAACACATTTTGCACCAAGTCATATTTCCATGGAAACAACAAAAATTCTGAAGAAAAAAATTAAAATAGCAAAAGGCACATCAATGGGTAATGATTAACATGTGTGTGAAGTTTGGTGAACCTAGCATGTAAACTTTAAGAGTTATGCTCCGGACAAACAGACGGACGGAATGAACGCTATATACCCGTTACTCCGTAGCCGGGGTATAATAATTGAGTCTGGAAAGCCCAGTGATCAATAGCATGAAGATCGATCTGTAGTTTTGGATACCATGCACACGAGTGCAACCAGCCTCACCATCAGATCTCATTAGTCACCTCTTACTACTATAGGTTGCTGAAGATCAATTCTAACCCACATCCTGCGGGTGTTTAGTGTTTGCTGTCCAGTATAAATATTGGCTTCAGATGGTGATTGTGCTTCTCATCAGCTGTATTGACTTCTAGGGATAAAAAACTGTCATAACAGATGTCAGGCAGTCTCGCTACTACTCCCGGTATAGCATCCATCCTATAACCCCTTCTTGCCTGGGAGCAACGTATCTACACAAGTACAAAACAAGGAGCTGATCACATTCTGGCATGTATGAAAAACTACATACACTTGTGACCATCGTTTCAGAATTTTAACGTGATCACAAACCCTAGAGCACTTTAACTTTTCATTCATACACAAGTCTGTCATGGGGACTGACCAAGTGACCTCAACCTGCCGCAATGCTGTGGGTTTCCAAAACATTCTGTACCAAGAAATTGAAGTCATGATATCTTTTCATAACTGTGTACATTACCTATTATGGGAAGAACAATGAACCTATGTTAAGACTGCTGGATCAAACGTGCATGTTTCACTCTAGTTGAACAAGTTAGTAAATAGTGAATTAAATGGTTTTCAGGTTTCCATGTCAAATAGCAAATAATTGATCTGGATCAAAATTCTGATTCCACAGCACAACCTGATCAATATTTCATTTATCAGGCAGGTTTGAAAGACTTAATCTAAATGTTGTGCTGCAACTGCTGTGGGTAAAGAAGTTTTTTCAAGAAACTAAATACTACTTCACGTGTGATCAGAAAGTCAACCATGTAGAGAAAACAATAAACATGATCCAGAAAGATGGGTTGTTATTTTCAAATAAATAACTACAGTGATAGCTGTCCAAGAAACTGCTGCCCCTCACCAGCATTCTCAGTGAAAACACCAAACAGTAGCAACGACATGACACTCTCGTACCTTGGCCGACAATCTGACTCAGTCAAGGTACATAGCAACTTCGATGATACATGCCCCTGCATACAGACTTGCTTGCCGGCGGATGGCAATGCTTTTCCCCCTAAGTAACAAAATCAGATTACAGATGACAGCCAAGCAATGGACTTCTGAGTTGGATGAGATTAATGTTATTAATGTACAATGATAATACTAGGCCAGATATTACACTTGTAAGGAATGTGTGGCTGTGCGATAGCTTGCAAATATGTACAGTTTGCATATGGAACCTTATACAAGAGATTCCCTGACCACACTATTCACCCTAAATGAGCTATCTGTGGCCTCGCCATGAGGTCTGAATAGTTTCACGGGATTCAGACAGAAATCAAAGCCAATTGACATGCACAGATTCATTAATTAAAAGGAACAAAACATTAAAATAACATAATTTCTTTGACCATGTAACAAAACCAAAACAAGGAACTTCAACATGCTTGAGGGTATATTGTAACTACAAATTGCTAAACTAGTCTCAAAATGATTTTTGGCAGTATAAAAATATTGAAAGCTTAAATCTCAGTATATCAAATCTTAACATTACTTCTTCTTTCACCTACCGTCCAGTACTCTGGACAAAAAACAGTATTATGAGGGCATTGGAATACCCACGTATTCTCACAAGACATCTTAAGTTAGTCCATAAACTATTAAGATGTACACAAAATTTTACACTGAAAACGGGAATATAATATATATCATCACAATTGTCTACAAATGTTTCTTCACCGATGGCTGACCACCAACCCTGAGAGAATCTCAAGTAGGTGTCCTGCATTGTCATGTTCATCCATCAAGGGTCTCCCTGAACAATCAAAGTCAATCTGCAGTTACTAGCACTTCAGGAACCATTTAATTCATATATTCATTTCGTAACAAAACAAAAAGACTGGCGTCTTGAGGACACAGTTTTAACGACAGCACTTGAAACATAGCACTCCACAGCAGCTCTCAAGGGTGTGTACATCAACATGCACCATGTCCTGGCGCACTATCACAAGAAGTTTATAACAAAGATCCCATACACACCTTCCAATGGTTGATGAAAAAATGCAGAGAGGTACATATTCATATGCAAAAGTGGGCATGAAATGATTGCTGTATTAGTCTTGCAGCAGTCTCTGAATGCTTGTCTGAAGATACTTTTGGTGTCAATTTTTTTCTTATTATTTCATCGGACATGTTGATTTGGCAAACTACTGAAATCAAAACATCAATGGACAGCTCCACCACTGTGCAATGCAAGGATAAGGTGCAATTCACAATGCACCATTCTCACGACTCGGTTTTAACGAGACGAGGGAAATCATTTTCATCATCCATCCTTGGAGCAGAATCACGGGGTTTCCTCTCGCCCCGACCACTTCCTCCACGGCCTCTACCACGGCCATCTCGTGGTCTCCTGCCACCACGACCTCTCCTTACAGGGTCGTTGAATGTTATCTTGATGTCCAAAAGGTTCTTGTTACCATGTCTCTTCTCATCCTGAAATAACAGCATTTGAACTTAACACATTGGAGGAAATGCAAATAGTTCAAGAATATAAATAGTTACTTGTCTGAAACTAATATAACCATATTGGTTATCAAAACTTGGATTATTTGAATGGATACATCTTGTTCCAACTACCACACTGCACACTGCAGGAAGGAGGCTGTTAAGATAGCACAGTGTAATATTCTAGACCAAGACAAACCAGCAATAGTACCGGTAACATTTCTCATACTTGCAATCCCACTTTCTCAGAAACACATTCAGAAAGTTTAACCCCAAATACAAGAAATGTTACATTTGACCACTTTCTGAAAGCATTTGTGTATTCCAAACCAGCAATTGACCAAGCTAAACAATGTGAATAAAAAGAGTCTGCAAGCTTGATCACCTAATCTGCTACTCTTCGAAGTCATGCATGGTTCTCAATTCTAACTTCCTGTTCACAGGGGCAAGAAGGCAATGAACATGAGTTCTGATATTTGATGAATGTTTATCCAAACCTCAAATTCATCATCTTCTTCCTCCTCCTCTTCATCTTCGCTTCCAGTCCTCTTCTTGGTGTAGGCTGTGCCCTTGCTCCACTGAGCCTCCTCACCCTCGCCAGCCTTTCGGATCTTGTACTTGGGCTTGCTGCGCTCATTCTTCTGCAGGGCTTTCCACTCATCCAAAGTCATCTGCTTAGGTTGGTCCTCTGACTCACCTGCAGGCTGTTCACCCTCGCCGCTTTCACTGTAGAAAAAGGTAAACCAATGAGCTTATTTTGGCAGGTTTATCATGCATATCTAATACACAGACCTGACCCCCTGGACCATAGTTCATGCCCAACACATTTTCAAAATGCCAAATGAGGCCAAAAGTGTATACTAACAACACTGATTTTACCCATGTACTAACGACATTTAATCCTACACTTTGCATTTTAGCAGCCTGTAAATAACGGAGCCTTGGCCAGACAATTGTGTGCTCTATCCGTGTGCAACAGTCCACTTCATGTGGGTACAACATGCAATCTGTCAAGTCACAGCATTTAGTTGCCTCCTACGACCAACATTTTACTGGGGTCTTATTCTATACCAGAAGCCAACACACTACCAGTTACTATTCTAAAGGTTCATCTATTATGTTTCATCAATCATGTTGAAGTTCATGATTTGGTTGGCCAAAGAACAACTCTGTTGCAGTGATGGTGATCTTTGTGTTTCCATCTAGCAGACTGACGTAACCAAAATGGTTGTGTCAAGAAAGCAAAATGTTCATGTCATAAACTATCAGGCAAATCGGTGTCATTTTCCCTGTACGAACGAGCAATAATCTTGGCAGAAATGTGCATCAGCACCATAAATTCAGTGAGTGAGCGAGTTTGGTTTTACGCCGCTTTTAGCAATATTCCAGCAATATCACTGTGGGGGGACACCAGAAATAGGCTTCACACATTGTACCCATGTGGGGAATCGAACCCGGGTCTTTGGCGTGACGAGCGAACGCCTTAACCACTAGGGTACCCCACCGCCCCCCATACATTCAGAGTAAAGTCATCATGACCTTTTCAGTTAATTTACAGGCTACTTTAATCAAATTGAATATTCAGCCAAGATGTCACCAATTACCAGGAGGAACAGCACTTATTGGCAACTAGGTTAATGGTCATTTAACAGCAAACTTACTTGAGCTCAAAGTTTTCAGTGGTTTCTTCTGCTGGTGCCCTCTCTTCAGTCTCCTGAGGTTCCCTATAACGGAAATATTCTTTCTATTAAAAACTATCCATCAAAGCAAGTACCTCAGACGTCATCTGTTGAACATGTGCACAGATAAAGATTGCTGAAAAACAACGCCCAAATAAATGCACATAACAAATGCATAAGAAAGTCACAATTCAAAGTGCCATATGTTGAAAATTCATGCAGGATAGTGAACAAAATCAAAAACAAACTGACATGTCATTTAATGACCACAGCACATGGATGAGTGTTAAGTAAAACTTGAGCAACATCATGCGATTAGTTCAAAACTTTTCCACATAAATATCAACATTTTGTACCTGTTGAAGTGAGCAACTTCTACAAGGATTCAAGTCTATTGTAACTATTTCTCATAATTAACTGTGCATACGAAAGCACTGTCACAAATGATGTAAACTAACAGATAGGGTAGTTTCATTAATTTAGTGGGTCCATATAGTAAGAACAGACAAGAACCAGTGACACCTTAATCCCAAACCTGTTCTGATGTTATTTTCTTAAAACAAATGTCACAATAAGCCAGCACAAAGTTTATAAACTGGTGAAAGATATCCCAATTTTATTAGTATTGCTATACTAGTCAAATAGTTTTCAAGTTAGGTTGTTGCCTGTAGCAGGGTTCCGTGTCTGACAAACTTACGCCAAGTCATCCTTGTAAGATCCCCAGTTGCGGGCACCACCTCCATCTTTCTTCTCAACTGCCTTCACACCACTGAAAGAGATCCAAGCACACTGCTACTGGTCTAGCTTAGCTCTTAACACTACACACATTGAACCTAAATGGGTTCATACGTCAGGGAAAATGTTGACCAATCTCATGTGCGAGTTTCATCCATGAACATGTGGACATCAAATGACCTCCAATTGTGCATTAGTAAATGAATTCATCAATACATGTGTTATTAGAAAAAAACAAAGCAACTGTGGGTGTAATCTCAGCATATTTCAGCTACACATGACATCACAGTGTAGACAGTTTATACCTAATATGCCTGCAAAAAGGGATACAGTGAGTTTGTTTTAGTACTGCTTCAATCGCAAAATTAGACATTGCAAAGAGGTAACAATATTTACCCAAGGAATGAAATTCTACATCTATCAAATGCCTACAGGCTAATTTTTTTTTATCTGGGCTTATCACCACCACTCGAGGAAGAAGAAACACAAACAGAGCACGGAATTTCCAGCATCTTATCAACACAGTCCGTTTATGAAAGAAAATACCAAAGACTAAAAACGTTTAACAGTATTGTTGAACGTCATGATTTTCTTTCAAATCCTCGAATAAATTATTCATTTGCTCCTTCAAAAACGAGACGAGTTCAAGTTTTTATTCTTAATTATCTAATTCTTAACTTCTGCAGGTGAATTGCAGACATTTGAAAAACTGACGAATCTTCATTACATATTGCCCACATCTGACAGGCTATATACCTGCTAGAAATTGGCATTTATTAAACACTTGTGTAGTTCAGCTGTGCATATGACCAGAAGAATATACTCATCTGCAGATCTTCATGTATACTACTTGAAAGAAGTTAAACATACGGTTATGGAGCTGCGACAATAGTTAGCAGTAAGCAAGGCTACATTTCTACTCTTGTCTCTGGCCAAATGTATGCAAGATATTCAGTGATTGAGTTCTTACGTTGTTTTAAGCAATATTCCAGCAATATGAAGGCGGGGGACACAAGAAATAGGCTTCACACATTTTACCCATGTGGGGAATCGAACCCGGGACTTCAGCGTGACGAGCGAACGCTTTAACCACTAGGCTACCACACCGCCCAATAAGATGTTCTGAGAATCCATGCCCACAAGACAACTGATGTACTTAGAACCGTGTTGAAACTGATTTCATAGCATATAGATTAGGAATGGTGGAAAAACTAAATGGTGGAGTTCTAAATAAAAACATACACTTCGTAACTTCTACTGGGCATGTAGCTATCTACCTTTTACCTATTTGGCATTAATGGGACCAGTGACAATTCATAAGCATGCCAGCACAAAATAATATATAATGTGATTATCACATTTAAGCATGTCAGTGATCAACACCAGTGAAACCAACATACGTTTTATCACTACCACTGTGCCTGTCGAAATCCCTTTTGCCTTGGGGAGCCCCAAACCCTTGCCTCTCCCCTCTCTCTCTATCATTATCACGGAAGCCTCCTCTTCCACGGCCTCCACGGAATCCACCTCTTCCTCTGCCTCTTCCTCGCCCCCTTTCACCACCTTCACGGTTGAAGGACCCACTGCTGCCTTCAGGCCTTTCCCTGTAAGGAAATTGCAGATTAGATATACGTGTACAATTATTGTATGGAGGGACAATTTTAAGTCACATTTCCATGCAATTTGTTGAAAAAATAATGTACAAGACACATGCAGTATGGGCTGTATTATTTATCAAAGCAAAAAAACAGCTAACTAGTACATTCAGTTCTCCTTGCATCGTAAGTCATGAATTGGATATAATAGTCATATGTCCTGTAATTGTAAACGGAATATGTCAGGATTACTTTCTCTGAAAATTTAGGAAAAGATGTTAATTCAATTTCAAAGTCGACAGATGTAGCAACTTGTCTACCTGAGGTCGAGACAAATTTCCATGTTGAGTCAGGTATGATACAATCAGTTTCATAAATTACAAAACTGCCAGTGAGCAGAAAAAGTAAGCTAAATTCTATATTGCTGAATTCATTTGGTAACGAAAAGGGACTCATCACCATTCTTAATGAATTTAATACATGTTTACAGACATGCACATTCTTATCCAAGTAAATATCTGTATCTATATTACCCAAGATCCATCATATTACACAAGGAGACACTGACCAAGAAAGTAACTGTAACCTCCCTTTGAACTATAAGAAACAAGAGCCTTGTATACTTTAGAAATTAAACTATCACCCATGAAAATGTACTTGGTATCGTGAGGGCAACCACAAAGCCACAAATCATAAAATGATTTCAGATTTAAAAAAACTCCCAGCCAATAATGTCACACTCTTTAAAATTCACAGCATGTGGACAATGCCTTAGAGCCATTCACAATTTTAGAATTCTAATACGAATGAATAGTTGCCTTTTCAAGGGAAAACAGTAGGGTTAAAACTATGAGGGCTTATTAAAACAGGGAAAGAAATCTTTCAAAATTTCCCACCAGACCACAGGACCAGTGAGTGGTCAATAATTAGTGGTTCTGTCTGTACTTCTCTGGTCCAACATAACATTCGTAGATTTACTTAACTATCGATACAAAATTTTTACTAGCCAGGGACCAAAGGACCACCTTAAATTTCACACACTTTTAAAAATGACCCAAACTTGTTATAGAAGGATGCAATAAAGTTTATTTTTTAAAGTGTAGGCTTAGATTATTTTGGCCCAAAATTCAATGCAGCAGGGATTTACGGGACGCGAATTACGGGACGTGTCCTATACCCACAAAAATTGACAATGGACGCAACGAAACTTATTAGCGCGCATCTGCAGAGACAAAGAAAAAGTCCAAATACTTCTGTAAAAATTCCAATCAAGTAACCACTGAGTTTGCTACTAGCTGAGTTATGGCATCATTTGCAATTTCATTACTGTAACAATTAAAGTGTTGATCATGGTACACAATACAATAACAGTATTAGTAATAATATTTAAGTGTATGGGACCCCCATTTTGTTGTCAAGGACCCCTGAAAATTATAAGCCTGACTCCCCTGGACCCTCATATACATAAATCCCTGATGCGGGTTGTTTAAAGGTTTAACTTCCCGACAAATTCAGTTTCTAAGGAATGAAAACCAGGGTTTAACATGAAGCGTTGATTCCTGCATACTTGACGTAACAATTTTGTAAAAGACTCAAAATATTATCATTTGAGTCCAGCTTGACGCAAGTTTTATGAGTGACTCTCAGAATTCAGTTCAGAGTCAATAAAATCAATCTGATAAGCAAACAATGATAGTTTTTTCTTTCAATTCATGTTAATAACTATGTTACAGTGAATAAATCACAAACCTGATTATTTGTTCAGTGTAATAGAGTTTGTTACGGCTGAACTGAACAGTGAAAAATATACTATTTATTGACTAACATATAAATGACAATACAACACAAAACAATAAAATCTTTACAAAACTCTTGCTTTTTGATATACACACAAATATTGAGCTAAAATTTTAATGACTGTGGGTTCAATACTATGGGTCACCATGACTCTTTTCAAAGTGGTAAAACCCTGGAAAACATTTTTAATAAGGCATTATACAAACAGATAATTGATTAGCATAACAAAGATTTTGATACATATTATTCAACATGTTACATAACATTACACAAGGCATTCTTTCAAAACGATTCCCAGATTCAGAATTCGCGCGACCGATACATGTGTCCCACACTGGGCACGCATAGTTTTTGTTTATTCGTCTAACGGTAGTGGAAAACAAAAAATACATGTGTAACGAGTACTATCTCCAAATCAGAAGTCATGCAATTGTCAAGTTCAGCTGTTCGCGAGGTAGGGTATATTTTCAGTTTTCATGTGTGTTATTTTGTCACCCAAGTGTAAATGTCGATAGGGTTAGGTAGTTTAGCAGCTCATATCAAAAACGCTAGGGTTTGTGGTGTAAATAGCTTCAAATATGGGCAAGACGATTCCAGTCGAGTGGAGCAAGGGCCTCTTCCATGTATGTGCTATTATAGCTCGATCGACCTATAGGCCTAAAGCTCGTCTGAACTACTACAGCTCGATCTAACTATTATAGCTCGTTTTCAGGTTCTCCCCAACCTGTTAACCACTTTCTAAATGACATTGTGTATTCATGTTGCAATAGTCCAGACTTAATCACATCTACTCTGCCAATGTTATTGGATGCTCATAACTATTGTTTCTTATATCCCATATTAAATACACTACAAAGGTTCTTAGATCAAACACCGGGAAGACAAATTTTTCACATATTTCAACACTGGATGTACATTTCTTTTCAGGTTAAAGCCTCTTCATACTGGTCCTGTCAGTGAAACATACAGCACTTGTCGCTTTGACCAAACCATTGTATCCATACAATAGTATACTACTATATACTATACTATTTATTGTTTTTTTTCTAAAGAGTTCAGGGACATAAACCTTCATGGTCAGAAGTCTACACGACGAAAATACATTCTCAAAATATGCAGGGTCCAGTACATCTAACTTGAAATGGGAAAGTTTCCATTTCCATACGGGAATTTATTTTTAAGACACTAACTCTCAACACTGACATATATGTACCTTTAACCAGGTGCATATAAATCCCTGGGCAGATCTTTCAGAAAATTTGTAGATGCAGATCAGGAAATAATAAACAGGCAAATCAGTAGCTACCACAAGACACCTAATGGCATCACTGTCAATCTAGCAACTAGTTTGAAACAAGGATCCACTGACTACTCAACGGTTGACATTGGACTGAATAATGCAAATGGTAATCGTCGTAACCTGAATTCCGGTGGCACATTTTCATCGCCTCCCCGGTTGTCTCTGTATTCTCGTGGCCCTTGGCGCCTGGGTGGCCTCCTATCTCCATCATTTTCACGGATTTCCCGTGGTTCACGGCGCCCTCCACGACCACTGCGCTCACTGGGTTTTGCTGAATTCACTCGCTCCTTTTCTAGAAAAACAATAACACTTACAAATTATTTTCCTGGTATTGTCTGTTCTGCCTCAAACATTTACTGCATATCACAATACATAACTTACTTTTTTGGTTCTGGTTATGTTATACAGCCAAAAGTATCCTGATCAAAGTTGACAATATCCATTTACTATGAAGGTCCAAAAACAAAATTTACCTTATGTTTGATCAATATCTCAGAACATAAAAATCATGGAACTGATTTTAAAATATTTAAGACTCGTTACATCCTAATGAAGCATACCTATAGTCTGTTCGCAGTGAAAACCTACCGATGAATATCAATTTAAACAAAAAAGTAAATCGAATAAAGTGAAATTAAGATTGTGAATCCTCATTTTTACCTTGCCAACTGAACATTTATATCTCAGAATTTTATTCAATTTAGGATAAAACTTGTTTAACAAACGATCGCTACTATTGATTTGTATTACAAGGGGGTATACACATTAAACGAAACACCGACAACAAGTAGAGTTGGTCTAAGTTAACGCTCATCACGTACCGCACATGTATTTGTTTCACTGTTACAACTACTGCGCTTACCCCCTTGTAATACAAACCAATAATAGCGATTTGAATGTATGATCGTATGTTAAACAACTTTTATCCTAAGGTGAGTAAAATTCTGAGATTTAGATGTTCAGTTGGCAAAGGTAAAATTATGATGATTCACAATCTTAATTTCACTCTATTTGATTTACTTCTTTGTTTAAAGTGAAAATGAAATTCATCGGTACGTTTTCACTGCAAACAGACTACACATTGAAACATGACAATCAAGAATCTGAGTAATTCCAAGTTCGAAATCGAAGTGTTGTCAATGACCAGAGTAATTTTAAAATATTCTACATTATTTATTTAATTCAACATAACACCTTCAAGGTGTATAATGGACACTGACTGAGCTTGCTGATTGTCAATATAGTCACCTGATGTTGATAAATTTAACAGCTACATAAATAATGATTGAGTACATTAACGTGCCATGCAGAAATATCTTCAGAGTTTAATTACCACATAACATCATAGTCAAATAGGCATTCCACTGTGTTGATTATTCGAGCATGACGCACCACGTGGGTTAGCTCCACGAAGAGAATTCTTACCTACTTTCTACATTGCGATCCTATGCAGTACGGTCAGCTGATGTTTACGAATTTTGAGACCCCGTAATCGGCTGTAATCTATGAAAGGTTCTAATACAGGTACATACATCTACTTGTCTTGTTGTCAAGGCAAAACTGTACCCACGTGGTCTACTATCGTCCTTGACACTTGACGATCACACTAAAGTCTAGTCAATGGACCATATTAGGTCGTTTCAGAAAGATAATCCAATATTGCACACAAATACCAAAACCACCAGCATATAAGGACGATTTTTTAGTAACACAAATAACACGTAGGCTACTTAGTGTCCCTGGTTCTTAGTAAATAATAATGTTGTTATACTATCACCGAAAACATAAGTTGTAAATGCGCATCTGTATGCGCCCACATGGTCTGTTTCGTTAACGTTTAATATGCTATTCAATTGTCATCTTTACCGACAATGCAATCATGATAAATAGACACAAATGTTGCCAAACCTTCTTTTCTCTGTGCATTCTGTTCCTTGACTTTGCCTTCGGACGGAGCGTTTGCAACCTTTTTACCAGACTGTTTGGATTTCGAAGACTTCTCCTTCTTGGTCTTGGCTGCCTCTTGCTGCTTCAAAAACTCTAAAGGATCGTCATCGATATCTACCATAGTAAGGAACCGATTTTTAATTGCTATGCCGTATTGGTTCTCCATTGTTCCTCTTTCTGGTAGAGGATGGCAATGGATTTTACCGACGGCTTTTTCCTAGGCGAACTTCAGAACCTGCAAAATGGCGTGCTTCCCGCACAATGATTGCACATGCGCGGTGACCCCCGGAATATGTGATGTCACAAAGCCTAAAATGGCAGTGGTGGCGGGAACCTCGCCATAGACACAATTTAGCATACATTTCATTTGAATATATTATTTTTTCTCAAGATAAATATTTATTAGTAATTAGGTAAAACACACTTTCACAAAACTTCATGATTATTAAACGACTTTAAAACAAGTGCATAACTAGCCAGTCAGTTTCTGTCACACGGCCCTCAAACATCGCGCAGAGGATTTCTAGCAGCAACAGGGATCACCGTGTTACTATAAATAGACGCTCGGCAGGTATGAACATGAAAGCTTGCTTTATTTACAACGCATGTTAAAAGACCTGCGATGTAAGTAGGCCATGCATTCCACCAGTACTGCCACATCCACGGACACAAATCACCATGCATCCGTTAACCTGGAGTAACGAAGTCCATTCCTGCCAGTTTTCGCCACCCATTATTTCACGTGAGGGGGAGGGAGAGGACGAAAATGGGGACTCCAGTTCATATAACGGTAAAGATGCGATCAAGCGGGGAAGACCTAGGGCCGACGCTATATCATCGCTCATACAAGAAGGAAATTCGTCAAGAAGCAGAATTCGCTGTCAAATCTGCAGCCGCGTCTTTCCTCGGGAGAAATCACTTCAGGCACACCTGAGAACGCATACAGGTAAGATATATTTTTTAGACTTTTTTGGAAAATCGTGAAATATGTGTTTGAACACCCTGATAACTGAACCATCGAAAAGACCTTCATTTGACTAGTAACCCATGTCTGGTGTTTATTGCTGAAAATACTGGGGTTTTATATGAAAATTATGTATAATACGCAAATATGGAAAAGGACAACATTTTTTTAAACATGGAGCATTAATAATGCAAGGGTATCAACACACGTAATTACAAACATTTGGTTTCTGTCTATCAAAACAATAAACTTGCAGATTAATATGACCCCTCTGCAACAGTTTAAAAATAAAATATATGCATGGAATTGCTATATTTTGCATGTTCGTTTTCGCGACATTGTGCATCAAATACGACTTGATTTTCGTCCCGAGGTCACTGAACCGGCTAAACCTTTAATCCCTCCCTTTCAGTTCCTCCAACTGCATTTCGAAATACATATTTGTTTGTGTTTATAGTACTATATTGCATGTTATAATATCACAGGTTTGTATTTCACGTATATCCCAACGCAGATGGTTTAAATGGCCATACATTGGCATCGGTCCAGCCACAGCCTAGATTTCGCTATTGTTAGGTCCTGATCGATCGGCGTTCGATACGGCATAATTCATCATCAATTATTTACACAAGCCGTAGTGAACGCTAGTGCACCTGTCTTTATTGATTACAGGTGGGACTGTAGCTAATTAGAATATATACTATTTAGTTTGAAACTTTATGGAATCATTCTTTTCGTTGATATTTTTTAGTGTTAAAATATGGAAATTCGTAATTGATCTGTGTTTGTTGTGTATAATCCCTGGGTAAATAGTGGATATTTCATTAAATTCGGCTGGTGTAATTTTCGTTGTGGCGAAATATTTGATGATTTCACAGAGAGACAGGTAAATGTGCCCTTTCAGGAATGTGTACAGGTCCGAGCGAGAGCTGAGTGGCTGCCTGTGTAGACTTGTATACTTCACCTTGTCTCGCACTGAATATATTAAATGAACGGATCTTAAGGTCGCACGCGATCGAATCGCAGCAATGATCAGCCCGAAACGCTTTGATAACACGACAGTTACTTCCCTTTGAATTTGTCTCACTGCAATGAATTACGGTCCAGGCGACCGTTATTCTTCAAGCCTGATAGGTTTGAACAAGCTGAAAGTCATGCACGTGACATTGTTGTGGTTCAAAAAGACCACACCCCCTTTTCACGCTCGCGTAGCCCTGTGTTTTCTTGGGTTGCCAAGGAATCGGTGGCCCGTCAACTGTCACTCGGAGTTCTTTTGCGACTCTTCAATAGCCCTATTTATTATTCGTGTATTCACGAACCAACTGACCGCGCTTTACGCCTTTAGCGTTCGATAGAATTCAATGCACATCTCCAAGTTTTATTTCAGGAACTATAATCCAAACGAAATGCGACCCGTATATATATAATTTGGATACATTTTTGTGATAATAAATATATAACTGGAACATGTTAATACTGAACTGAGGAATATTAACTCTCAACCTTGAAAAGAAATGTACACGGTTCTGTGCTGGTCTAATTTATTCAATAGTGTTTTTTGAGTCTATTGTTGTTTGAAAAACGTTAGGAACTCCTCTTTTTTGTGTCCGCAAGGGACCGTTCATAATCATGATATATGGGGGGGGAGAGAGAAAGCACGCCAAGAAGAAATACTACACGACTGAGAGTTACTGTTGTTACAGCATGTCATATCACTATATGGTTTGGATCATCGTGTAAATAACTATAAAGAGAGACGGTAGAGGTGTACGATATTGTCAGCCCAGAGGCCCAGATAAGCTGCGTATCCGGGTAAAATACGCATAGAAAATTTCCAAATTACGCATTGAAAAATAATTGTTGTGTACCAATTACACATTTAAAATGTTAGATACGCAAAAAGTTTAAAACAAAAGCGTACGGAATATATTTGTAAGAAATCGCTTGCGTAATGAAAAAGACATCGATTGCTATCAAGTTGTACTTTTAGTATAGGACAAGTGTTGTACTGTCAGTATAGGATGAGTGATTTTTTATGAAATCATTTCCATTATATTTAAGTTGGTTTTGATTAGGTATGACATAAGGCAGAACATACCTGCTTAGTAAACTTACTCAGTGATATATACTTAGGTGGGTAAAATGACTGAAATACGCACATATTTGAAAGCAGTACGTGGGTAACGGAAAATGAAATACCCACTCAACATTCATAATACCCACTCCAAAAAATACAGTGGGTACAGTACCCACATGAGCTAAATCTTATCTGGAGCTCTGGTCAGCATCGCACAAAGGAAACTTACCTACGACTTATACGTAAGCCGACAACATTTACACTTTCATACGTAAAGTCGTCAGCCTCGAAGAACTTTGTCACCTTTTACGGCGATACTGTTGTTAACATATAGATAGACATATCCAGTTTTCATTTCAGTGTGCCACACTCATGTTCTGTGCAGGGTTTTACTCTAGACACACAAGAGGGAGGTTTCAACGTGCAACGTTAAACGAAAATATACCAGGTTGAGAATAATGGAAATAAGTCATACGTCCGTAGACTTATCTCATCTTCCCATAACAGGTTATGAGTAAGATCAATCCTAGACAGTGTACATATGTGTGTTGTTGGGTCTGTGAAACCGTTAACCAAGTCCACCTGGTGATTCACCACAGTACACGTGGATAAAAATGCATCTGTTTTGGTCCTACGTTGTGCATTGTTCCCGGAAAACGGTTTTACTTGACCGCACACGCTTCCATTTTCGGGCAATTGACAAACCAACGCCATTTTTGCATTCGTCTTTTATGTTTGTCAACTAGATGATAGGAGGAAATTAACTAAACGAAATATAACATACCCACATGGGAATTACTATGGGGAGAATTGAGTCCTCTCTCTTCCCGAAGGGACACACAAGCAGTTGCTTCCAGTATTGTAACACTCACGTGTATGCACACGCTGGAGACAGAGACGGTACTGTGACGTTTTCAGATTTGTAGTTCATGTTTGTTTTTCCTACAGGTGAGCGTCCCTATTCGTGTGATTTTCCTGGATGTGGCAAAGCATTCTGTCAGAGTGGGCAGCTGAAGACTCACCAGCGGCTGCACACAGGGGAGAAGCCCTTCGCCTGCTCTGTACAAGGTAAACCCATCACCAGTGGTGACTGGCCGCAGATATTGGTTGTATCAGAAGAAGGTTTAGATTGGTTGGTAGGTTTGTTGTTTTACGCCGCACTCAGCAATAATCCAGCTATAAGGCGGCGGTCTGTAAATAATCGAGTCTGGACCAGACAATCCAGTGATCAGCAGCATGAGCATCGATCTACACAATTAGGATACGGTGGCATGTGTCAACCAAGTCAGCGAGTCTGCCCACCCACTCTCGTTAGTTAGGAGCATGGGTTACAGAGGTACAGATAAGCTGCGTATCTGCGTAAATTACGCAAATTTTTTGTGAAAACTCAATTCCTTATAAGACTAGTGCGTACAAGTACGCTTGAAATTTGGTAAATACTCAATAAATGTGATCTTACATGCGTACACACGAAAATGTCAAATCTTAGCTTGGGTACCGGTGGATAGATAAAATAACTGAGGTATACTGAGAGGTTCTATTACAGCATATGAACTTGACAAGTTGCAGTCTTTCTTGTCGTCACTCATATTACAGATCAAATATAAATAACAAAAACTAACATTTAATTTTTTTTATGTTTTCAAAATTAATGGAAAACGGCAAAATACCCAATTGAGTTAGAGTGAAGTGAGTAGAATTTATTTGGTTACTCAAAGGAAAATTAGGATAACCAATTGAGATGAACATAAGCGAGTACATAACTCAATGACCCAAAAAGTTATCTGTAGCTCTGCTGGGTTGCTGAAGACCAATTCTTACGGATCTTCACGGGTTCCAGGGTCTCCAGAATGGCAGATTGGCTAAATGCACATTTTATTGAAGTCTCGAAATGAACAATGGGACGGTGGAGGGATGCATTCCCCTTTCACCAGCCGCCCATGTACATGCTTCACGTCACGTCATCTGCATGCGATAGCTCTTGTGTTTCAAGTCAAGTTTTGATATTCACGCTTTTAGTTAACTGGTTATGAATAAACTGATTCCTATGGTGAATGTAATACTTTGTAGATGAGGGATTGAATGTCGTATGTATGTTGTATGGATTCTGTCAGGTCCGTTACCAATTCAGAAGCCATAAATTCTAATATGAATCTATCTAGTTTGTATAGTATATATACACATATTTGCATGGCCGGGTTCAGTGCATTGACGTTCACTGACCTACTTTTCCTTGAGGTCTGCTGGAAGGCCTATATGTGTTCATGGTTGATTTCGTCAAGCTTCACTGAACACGCGGCTGAACCCGAAGGCTGATACGGTTGGATGACGACACATGGAAGAGCTTCCTCAGAGTGGATGTATCAATATATATAGTGTTCGATTGTCGGTTAAAACACTGTTAGTATCCGCTGCGATAGTTGTAGCAACAGTATTGTTTTGTAACAGCGACGAATATTCCCAAGAGTTCCCATATGCAATGCAGATCAGAAACAAATTCAAACCATGCAACGCCGTATATACCCTGGTGAACCTCTGCAGATTTCCCCACTCTTGGACGTCTGCTTTTCTAGATTCCATATTGACTCCCTGGGTCTTCGCTAGGTGTTTAATGGGTTTGTGTTTATTTGTTAGGGAAGCAATAAATATACCCACATGTAAGTCATTTAATAAATGTTTACATTATTGAAAAGGGTTAGTTTTCAATGATGCATGTATATTAATTGCCTGTCGTGTGTGCGTTCGTGTTTGTGATCAAATTCCATGTTTCCCCTCGCCATTCACCTGTTTCCGGTAGGCCTTGAACAGTTGTATATCAATATTTAAACCTCTATCAATTGTCGATCAACATCTGTTGTATTCACAGTACAACTACAGCTTAAGATGTACGTGATATTGTTCCCGTTTGTGGATGTTGACGGACAGATTCCTCGATCAAGGAAACTGTCTGATATTATAATTATACTTTTTGTCGGTTGTAATTACGACCTTTGCATGTTGTTTTGATTCACTGGTTGTAGGGGGAACCTCAGTGGTTAATGATCAAACTGTTCCATACGAAACAATTATCTGGCAATAGCAAGCAATTATTCCAAATTGCAATATAATTTATATCTACAACTGTGTTTAAAACTATACCGCAAAAACAACACAAACAGTAAATAATCAGGTTTCACATTTTATTGATCAAGTTGTTTATTACCTGTTCGTTAACCTGAATTTTCTGCATGAAGGGATACTGTGTTGGAGTTTTGTGTCCCTTTAATATATGTATGAAGACTGTAGTAATACACACGATATGTGTCATAAAATATCATAGCTGGGATTGGACTTTAAATAGCATACATGCAACTCCTCGGTATTCTCTACGTACGGGGGGACGGTGGGGTGGCCTAGTGGTTAAGGCGTTTGCTTTCTCGTCACGCCGAAGACCTGGGTTCGATTCCCGACATGGGTACAATGTGTGAAGCCCATTTCTAGGTGTCCCCCGCCGTGATATTGCTGGAATATTGCTCATAGCGGCGTAACACTAAACTTCACTAACTCTCTAATACGTCTCTCGTATGTGTTTGCGTTCGGGATGTGATCATAGGCCGTGGCACTGAACCGAAAGAGTAATCTCTATATATTAGCTATGATTGTGTATGTAAATACCTCTGTGTGACTGTGTGTATAGTAGCAGTAGTTGTAGTAATACTAGTTGTGTGTGTAGGTAATAGGTATACGTAACTCAGAGGTGTATTCTTATATGAATATATATCACGAAGGGCAGTATATAACTGTTGTCACAAGAGGAGCACACCATGTATGTTACCGGACGTGTAGCAGTATCTGTTCAACTTAACACTAAACAGCTGATAGTTTACGGGATTTTAGACAATGGCGGTGTTTCGTCTCTCGTTGTTGTAGATGTTGATTCAGGCAATGGCTAACAATTGCATCTGTGTGCGTCAGGTGCCCGTGTCGTATTGACACGCCCCCAATGTCCCGACATGCCACACTACAGATAGTAGCTGTTCTATGACGTGTATAACGTTGGTGCATGGCGCTGATTACAGATTGTCAGTCTGGCTACTTAGGTCACTGTGGCTATACCCGGCCTTAATGAAGACGTTTCATAAACAACATCAGTTGCTCATTGTAGAGACATAATTGCTTTTAAATAATTTGCCAAATATGTATATTTATGGTAGATGGAACGAAACACTTTACGTCTAAAATACGCCATGGACAGCTCCGTGTGTCGTCAGTTCATCCTTCCCTATACGTCGACATGAGTAGCTGTGTACAATGGGTGTAAGATGAGAACACACGGACCAGTGGGATGTCTGGGCTAATGTACTTAACGCTTGGCTCGCCTTTACATTTGCATGTAGTTGCATGCACACGGTGCATCAATATGCAGCGATAGGTAACATGTGAACCTGTTTACATCCACTATAATACGCCTGCAATACATTTATTCCACGAAATGCATATCTTCCTTGTTCGCACGGTTTAGTGTGCCGGTAAACGAACGAGGACTCCGTGATACACCGTCCATATCTACAGTTTGGGCTATTTTATATCATTTGTAAAATGATTCTCTGTCACGGAAAGACGTTCATTCAATGAAGAGATGCACCATGCCTATAGTTCACAATGTTTCATGTTATAACATATATAATAGGTACACGTAGAATACATTTCTATTTTACATTAACATATACGTACAAATTGGTCGAATAATTATTTCTGAGTGAAATAGTAACCGACAATATTGTTTTGTTCTTCAACTCCCGCAAGTCTAATATTACCCAGTAGCACAGAGTGATCAATGTGTAATAACGGTTCGATATTAAATTTTGCACATATACATTTTAGCGATGCCCCATGTTGATTGGTCAGGTAACGCTACAGTGCTTCCTTGGTGAGAACATTACGTGACGACGTCCATTGTTCATGACGTCACAAATTACATTACGTCACCTGAATTATCACCTGCGTTATGTGAAGGTTCCCTGTAAGGTTGGCGTCTCATACGTGTTTTCTCTCTAAAACCTCTTCGGAATTACAGACGAACTCACTCGTTCGGGACTATCGCCATTGGGTCACTGGGGAGAAGTGACCCGTAGCTTCATCGCTATTGTCGTACAGACCAGTACCTTTTACTACCAGGTGATGACAAAGGCTACTAGTATATATTGTTTTTCAGTCAGCTAACTGGCTGGAAACTATATTCAAATTCAAAATCATTTCTTTTAATTACACTGGGTGACCTGTATTGTATGAGTATTGAAATGTACCATATGTTGTTTGTTTTGTTTGTTGTTCGACGTCACCGTGCATCAGCGATATGTTTTATGCTATATGACGAGTCGGAGACAATCCAGTGGCTGACGTCATAAGCATCAATTTACTCAATTGGGATACTATGACATTCATCAAGTCAGCGAGCCTGACCACCCGATCCGTTAGTCGCCTCAACGAACATGGGGTGCTGATGACCAATAATTCTAACCCGGACCTTGACGGCTCGGTGCCAGATGTAGATACATAGTAACAGCTTGACAGTGTTGTTCTGAAGTCCCGGCATGTGTGTGGCGCTCTTGCTTGTTGCTATAGCGGTTGAACTTGGACAGAGAATCAATCATGAATATGTTTTAAACCAACACATTCTACCTGGTGTCATCACTTGCACTGATTTCCAAGCTTCACTGATTTTTATCAATAGTTGTGTACGAATCCAGCGACTCCACAGTAGAAATGCGAAACACATGGAAACGGCTGTTTTTTTCTCTTCCGCCGACACTATAAAATAAATAAGTACAAACTCATTCACTGTCGTTTCCAACATATGTATGTTAATTAAAATGCTGTAATGGACACCTGTTGATTTTTCCGCATTCCTCTCTCTCCTTTTCTACCTACCCTCCTTGGAAGTATTTAAATTGGATTATTTTCCCGTCATACCGAAGTGAACGTTTGGGCCAAATATCCGTTTGCCAAGGACGACGTGTGAATACACGTATGTAACACGCACACGCACACACACACGCAGCAGTCAGTGAAAGAGGTAGTGCACATTGTGAAAATATTCTGCTTGTCACAACTGTTTGCAACACTCGAGAGAGGAGTGTTAGTGTAGGTTCCCTCTAGCACACGGGCTTGTAACGCAATAGACTGACATCAAGGTATATAATATATTAATACGGGGTCTTTATACTATATATGGAGATCCTTCTGAGCCCGTCAGTGACAGTATAAACCTTGATGCCAGTTTTTTTGCGTTACAAGATTCGGTGTGATTATAGAATATGTTCGCCACCTTATAATTCAGGCGCGTAGCAAGCCAGTTTTGTGTAAGCCCGATAGGTCGCAAAGCTTTATGTTTATATAGTATTGAGGGCTTGTCCAACCTTTTTAGCAACAATCATGTGTAAGCCCGTTCTTTTTTCTACAACGGTAGCTACGCCCCTATTATTTTGTAACTATTTTACCATGGTTATATACCAGCAATCCTTTCCTCTAATACTCAGGGTTGGGTTCACAGGGGCATGTCACGCTTAGAAACAGCGTTAGAAAGACATATAGGTATATAGACCCTACCCTAGAACTATATAAAAGGACTTTTTATATAGTACTAGGGTAGGGTATATATACCTATATGTCTTTCTAACGCTGTTTCTAAGCGTGACACGCCCCTGTGGTTGAGTTAGGGTTAGTCCAGCATATAACTAGACGACTTTGCACCGGAATATGAGTTTATTCATATGAACTAGGTTAGGGTTAGCCTTTCATTCTTTTTCTTTCTGGGTGGCGAACATATCCTATAGCGGCTCGCATATTTTTACCTTCAGATTGCCAAAGTCGCTTCACGCATGCAAACCGCCACTGTCCCGACCACCCATACGCTTCCCTGCAGCGGGTGGAGACAGACATTACGTCATCGCCCACCTTCAAAAGTAACAGCTATGAAGTTCAACAGTGGCTAATACGGTAAGAGTTGCAGGAACATTACACATTCCGTCGAACTTCAGCGCCGGAAGTATTCTGTTAACACCATGAAGCGAAAGGTACGCTACATGACAACAGACTTATTGTACACTTAGTGTTAATCTAGGAAGTGTTATAGCAGTAGGGTCTTCATGTTCGAGAGAAGTTTGTAACTGTGAGAAGCGAACATAAAATACCAATATGCTTTTACATATCGTCATCCTCACAAATCATGTGTGGTTACACAGTTTGATGTTGTTTACCGGAACAAGGGCGTGAGACATCGTCATGAACTAAGTGTTCAGTGTAAATAAGTTACAAAATAAATACCGAGGCAGCTTCATACACGAAAGGACCTTTAACCCCGAGACACAATATTGTGTATTATTTCATGGACTATTTATTCTTTATAACACTCACTTTGTCAAGTTCCGCTATAGGTTTGTTTGTCAACTGTTGCAGGTATGATGCCCAGCGCAAGGAACGAAGTCAACTCAAGTCACCTGTCAAGCGCCGTCTCTATGATGAGAAGGACGATGAAGATAATCTCCATGCAAAAAAGAGCGGCCACATTTCGATGACATCCCCCTTACAGCAGACTGAACAAAGAGATAAATGGATTTCTGCACTGGCCCTCATGGAACTCGCCCGTGGTGTTGTGTCATGACATCATTATCCGTCCAATGTCTTCACAATATTTATGAATTTTGCTATACAATTTGCTTTTTTATAATGGAAGTTTTATTTATTCCTGAGGTGTTCAATGCTTGGCAATTTTTGAGCTCAGCATTCCATGATGCTGCCGTCCATTTCCAATATTGCTCCATATCATTGTAATGATATTGTCAATGACATCACAAAGCATAATTATTCACACCCCAACAATGGGTGCCATTCCTTTATGTTACTCAAGTTTGTGTGTCCTAAATGCCATCCGTCCTAACATATTTATGATCTACTATTTACGTTTTCCACTCCGTCCTAACATACAGGTACCCCAAGTCATTTCTATCTGTCCGTCCAGCTGATGTACGAAGTGGTGCTTGTTTCATGCTAAATTATAACCAGGTTCATAGTTGTACAACATTTGTTATATTTACTCCAAACTATTTATTTGTATTGGACTTGCCCTAATATATTTTATTTTCTTGACTTTGGAAGAAACTTGAAACATTCCAGAGAGACCGTCCTCTGATATACTGCAATAGCGAGTGTGGGAAGGCTCAAGTACGATGTTCTTCTGTATGAGAATGAAGGCTGTATATTTTATCATCTTTTATTGGTGTCCATAGAAGTATCACTTAGTAGTTTATTGTTGTAATGTCCTAGAAAATCCTATCTTCATTAATAATTGGTGCTTTACTGTAATCACACTAAACAAAACACGGCATCACTCAGATCATTCCTAGAAATTGATGTGTTCATAGTAAACTTGTGGCATTTACAGTAAGTCATCCATTGTGTACCAATGTACTACTCCAAAGAATTTATAACACACAAGATTCTTTCATCTTGATGTGGTTATTGCACTGATGCTATATCAGATTAACAACAATATTATGAAAGAATCATGTTCATTGATTTTTTGTGTGTGATATATGATAAAACACACTACTACATATTAAGAATTCTATAAAAATCAATTTAAGTTTTGCTAGGATATCAGCTTAGTGCATCTGAACCAGATGATGAGAGTAACCATTAGCTGTGGCTAGTCCTTCTTGAACATGACAAAAATGTTCACTAAGTTTACATGTTCTGTCACTTACGTTCATTGCCAATTTGTAGCAAAATTGAAGCATTTGGAATTATAGTCAAACAACGGTACTGGTAATAATGGACTACCAATATATTTATATTGTAAATGTGTAACAGTACTTGTGTCACTGGTGAAGTGTGAATAATATTACCAGCAGAATGGGAGGAGTTTTTGTGGTGTGCATGTCCTCCATCCCTCTGTACTATGTATCTCCTTGTACACAGATTGGTCTTCAGTCCTGCAGGTGTAAGTAATGGCTGTAAATCCCCATTAAAAGGTGAGGTGAGGTGAAATTGGGTTTAACATCGTGCTTGAGAATGTTTCGCTCATATGACGATGTGCATGCGTGTATGTGTATGTGCGGCTGCTTGTACTAGCCCTGACTTAAGCTGGTTTTATAGTGCTCGCCCACTGAGATACCATGCCGCAGTGAAGCATAAATACCCCACTCAGACACATTATACTGACTCCGAGCCGACCAGTCCTTGTTGTACCCATTAATGCCGAGCGCCAGACAGGGACCAACAAGTACCATATTTTAACGTCTTTTGGTCTGACGCGGTCGGGAACGAACCCGCGACCTTCCGCTCTCCGGGCGGACGCTCTAACCACTACACCACGGAGGCGGTCCCCCATCAAAAGACAATAGGTAATGCTTCAATATAATGCATAAGGGCCATCCATGTTTATTAATTTTTATGCAGAAATATGCGTTTTGTTATCAAGTTTATCATTCTATGTAATTTATTATTAAACTTGTGCAGAAATTTCATGTAATACAATCTCAAAATTAGATCTGAGCACTTGCTACCAGTACAGAAAGCATTAGCAAGCACTAAGACCTGACTTAAAGGAACAGAGCACAATAAGACATAGAACATGAAGCAGTGTGCTATGTAGTGGTCAGGACTCGCAAAGCCTTCACTTGATAGGACTCGGAATTTAGCAGTAAGGAGAAACCCAGCCTGTTGTTATTTGAAGGGAGATAATGTAACTTTCCTTTACAGAACAGTACTTCTGATGTTATCATAGGACACAACCATATCATAAAGGACTCCCTTTAAACTTTGTTCTGGTAAAAAATCAATCAAAATATAATATCTTAATCATTTTATATTATCAACCTATGTCATTTACTGACATTTATCTTCTTAGTTGGGTCACAAAATGTATTGATGCCATCACGATATGAAAAAATAAGGTCACAATCATAATCTGTTGTTCGCATCTGATACTGCCTGTATTAATTCAGAATGTAACTGAAGTTATACTGAATCAAAATAATAATCTCAAACATATCATTAACATTCTTACAAATGTATCATAAACATTCTTCACACCATTATGTACTTAATGTCACAAGTATAAATTGACATAGACTACCACCAATGGGGGTGGTATATGCCATGTAGCCCACGGTCCATACTGTCCATCGACACCACCATCCAATGTCATCTCGGTCCTTCATTTCTACAGTATCTCGAGGCAGTCGTCTCCCTTCCAACCCAGAATGGACAATGGTGCAAATATTCCTATAGATTTTCATGTTTTCATGTGTCACAAGTGTCCCTGTTATATTTTCAAGAGATATGTGTAATGAAATATTAAATGTGTAAAAGTTAATCAACCTCCTGCATTCCATCCAAAACAATGTGTTAGTGTGTTAGATTCTGTAGACACAATGTTTTAAATTGTGCATGTATTTATGTGTGTTCTGTGCTTGTGTGTTCTGTGGCAATGATTAACCCTTACCCTGTCAACCAACAATGTGTGTCTGTATGCTGTCACATGACCTGTATATCATTTGGTTCCATCAAGCAAGGTGAAAGCAGTAGCACTGAAGGAAGTCATATTTGAAACCTAGGGAGCTTTAGATTTCTCTTCTTGAAATTTGCATTGTAGCTAGTGTTTCTGTCTACAGAAAGCATGTCAGTGTGAAACTTTCCTATATCGCTAGCTACCTATCTGCATCACAATGGCAGCAAGTTCTCAGTTCATTACAGAGCTACAATTTTAAGGTTACCTAATATGTTGCTTTCCAATCCCCACTATACCCCGAAAAAATATATTTCAGTTATTCTCTGACTTGTTTGTCAACCTTATTGAAAATCACCATGTGAGACAAGTACGAGAGTTTGATATTCACAGTCTAGCGACTCCTATTCATTCCTTGGTGTTTATACTAGATGTCCATCAGCGTCATTATTTCTTATCTGGGGTTCAAGTCTTCTCCTGTCATCAATACTGCTCAAGTTCAGCTCAAATAATGGTATGCAAGAACAGGTAATTCCTAATGTGTGACTTTTCCGAAATGCTATATTCCTGACAAGTGTATCTGCTTGTGTTGACAGGGCAACGGTGTTGTGTTGATATAGAGATGTACCATAATCCAGTCCTGTTCACCAATCAACTAGTTCCACGTTCTTGTGATATTCTCACTTTTAAATCTACAAGTGTGTACAATGATATTTGTATATACATATAGACATGTATTTATTTTCTATTTATTTATTTAATGCATAATTAATCCATGAATTTCCTTTCAGACCCTTGAACATTTTTAAAGAGTGCAATGAAGTTACACAATACCTGGCTAATTACCAGTTTATATTTTGTGTTCTGTAATTTTCTGAAAGCTGCTTAGGATCAGATTATCACTGAAGTGTATCCTGTTACAAGCAATGTAAAGGATTTGGCTAAATACTAAAGTAACTTGCAGAACAAGTCAAGCAGCCAACAGCGGATACAAAAATACATGTATTTAACTACCCTGTGACAAAACAAAGTTGGATATTCAAAACTTCCTGTAACGTTCAGATTTTTCATAAATACCTTTGACTAAAACCAAACTTGCACATTATTTTGAAAAGAATTGTGGCATTTCTAATCATAATTAATAGCCAATGATATTTGACAACAGGATTTTCATCCTGCCAGTTTCAGTTGATCATATATATGTAATATATGATACAGATATTTATCCCACCCCTCTCAAGGTTTTCCTAGATTTTCACCAGGTTCAAGAATACCTCAGATTCTAATACTGCACTCACACCACTTTATTTGTGTGGCATTATTGTCAAGAGGAACACGATTACATGCATGGTTGCCACATCTTAAGCAGAGATGCCAACCCATATTATCGTATTTATTACGAAAAAAAACCCAAACACAAAATACGCGTCTACGATAAATATTTTTTTTAAAAACCCATTAAATGTAATTATCAAAAAGCATACGTACCATACACAGTAAATTTCAACCACATTTTACTCAGTATCAAGCTGTATGTGGATACTTACTACTGATTGAGATAAGTACAATGTTAATAACAAGTTCTTAGAATATGTATGTATCTTTTATTAAATATGATCATTCAATGGCCAAAACATACTAATTTTTGCATCAGTGTTTGGTCAAAATACTAATTGGGCTAATTTAGGGTTGGCATCTCTGCTTAAGTATCAACAAACACATTCCCAGTCTAAGGGTGTTGTACTTGTCCAATGAGTGAAACAGTATTATCAGTCTTATAGCATGTAGGTTTAGGGTGGCAGGAAAATCTAAGAGCTGTGTCACAATGTGGGTATGCTAACAGACCAGGTTTCATTTCTGGAGTATACTTGTGATTAGTTGTCATGACCAGCCTTACACTGTGGAATGTATGTAAGGTTTGTCATAACATGTGCCATATTGGCTGCATACAGTGCACCACTCCAATAAGCACCTCTTCACCACTTCTAGACCCATTTGCAAGTAATAGTGCCTTGTACAAAGCCAGAAACAGATTGTTCTGTCAGAAAATACAATTCTGCAGACAGGGTACTTATCATACACACTGACATGGAATGTTGACATGTTAAAGTTATAACTGGCAATGGCAATGTCCAGTCTAGCAGTATACAGTATACAGTAGGGCAGTGTAACGAAAAATACTAAGCCTAAGTTTACTTAGACTGTGGCAATGTCTTGTGAATTGTTTTAATGAGTGCCCTACTTTGTCAATTTTATAAGCACCCACGACACTTAATATGGCAAATGTGGTATGTCATGTTCCATGAGATAATTATTTATATTCTGTAATAAGCAGTATTGATTTTGGGGACTGGGTTATGGCGCTTGTTAGGTTGTAGCATACATTACCTGACAGTTTGTGGGTTTTCTATTTTGTTGGTAGTGCTAATATTAACATTGGGCTTCAAACCATGGCCGCAATCACCCTGAGGCAATATTTGATGTGTTCATACATTTTCACTCACTCACAATCTATGAAGGTTAAAATATAAATTCATAGAATCCATTGCATGATTGCTACAGACATAAAATATTTTTCACATATTCCAAATTTAATTGATTTACAAGAAATATTTCAATTCAACCTTTAAGCAATGTTTTTGCTTGACAAGATCATCAGTACTACTCACAAGACATAAAGTACCACCCAACCTTATTTCATGTATCTATAAGTAATCTGTCATGCCTTGCATTAGTCTTGCTATATAGATGAAACAGATGACAGTAAAGTCAGCTTGTAAACCAGTTTGCCTGTAACATAAGACATTTGTACCAGCATATTCTGTGTAAGTCTCCCAGTTCATACGTCCAGTGCTTGATCCACAGCTCAAGTTTTGCTGATCATGTGTACAGTTCTGGTACAGACTAGCCCTGGAGTATGCGGCTATCATCACAATATACATATTTGTTTAGTGCATGGGCAATGGTTTGAAGTCAACGTAGTCCTGAGTTTGTCCATTTGTGAGTATATCACAACAGAATTATTTTTTAACAAGGGAACAGTTCCTTATCAATTGTTTTTGAATTTTTGTATTTACAGACACAATAGCTGTAATAAAGTTATAACAAATGTCTTGTTGATTTTCCTTTACCTAGAAACCTTCTTTCAACACATTGTAAACCAAAAGTCAACGTGTTCTTTAATCTGATTGGTTGGAAAACATGATCAAATGGTATTCAATTCCCGGAAACCGCAAGACTATTCACTGTGTATTGACAAGGACAAATATTGCACACAATTGTATTGTTGCATCGTCAGCAGTGGTGACGTCATTCAAATCATATTGTGATGAAAGTTGGAATGATGTCACAAATGAGCAGTTCCAGATGCTACTATGGGAACCGGCTGAAACGGCCAGCTGATGACACTTCACTGCTGTACCTGTACTCGATGTCGACGAGTACAGACAGTAAAACCCATGGTTTACTTTTGTGTATACAATGTCGATAAACATCTGTCGGCCAATTTCCAGGTGTTATTGAGTATTTGAAGCACGGGAATTCATTTGGAACCTCCGGCTAATGCCGTCGGTTCCAAATGAATTCCTATGCTTCAAATACTCAATAACACCCGGAAATTGGCCAACACATGATGTTTATCTCCCAAGTGCAACCTCAAAATGAATGTTCAACCACTGTTTAACAAGTACCCTGAACGTACATATCTTGTGGTTATTTTTGCAAATGTTGGGTACTGGTATATAAGCTAACATCTTTCATCAGGAATCACTATTCCAGCCCCAAAACACTGGCCTTGTTACATGGAGTACCTACCAAATGATGACAAGTTACAACCTTTAATGCTTCTCTCAACATTATTTCAGTTACCATGGTTACCATCAGCTTTTGTTGAAGGAAAGTGAAAAAGGTGGGCATGGGCAAAAAATGGATGATAATATCAATGTGAATCCAGATATTCACATAACTCTGGCAGTGAATCATTGCCCCATAGACCACTGGGCCACACTTGCCTCCTCCACCTCAACACAACATATGATAACAGACCAGCATTACATCTTTGGTTTGATGATGTATTCATGTTCACTAACAATGTCATAAGAAATCAATATATTGTTAAGCCTCCCATGCATGCAAGAAGTAATCTGAAACACCGGCTGGGAATAAGAGCTATATTGTTTTATAAAAGAGTGTCTGCTACCTAGGGTCAAATTTCATTTATATATAAAAACAGTCATATTGACATGTTAAATGACTTCTTATCATATTTAGGGATAATCTGACCAGAATCCAGCATCAACATGATATCCACAAAACAGGCATTTAAATCCCTCGATAAACATTTCCTTTATGCCCGCTTTAAACGTGCTGATGAGCAAAAGTCAAATGATTACACAACACATTCCAGTGGGATGATTTGATAATTATAAGACTTCACATGTTGCATCCAGCCAACTGTTTCCTGGTTCGGTATAATCTGACACTGCCGTTGTTCCACTACTTCCTGCTCACACAACAAGCTGTACAGATCCCACTAGGTCATCATGACACTGTGTTCATAGGTCAAAGTTCATGGTCATCTGGATGATACAGTTCACTTAATAATCTGTAGACATAAGATGGCGCATTTCCTCCTCTGAAACATATTAATAATAGACTTGACCTCACCACGTCCTATCTCAGAAAGATGAACAGGAACTATTTCTAATCATTATAACACACTTAAGAGTCGCATATAAAACATAACAACTAGTGAACTACTTATATCACAGCAACATTCTTCATACTTTCTTTGTAACATCCCACTGTTTTTATAGGTCCTTCTAAATTTTTCATGTCTTTTTATGTTTTCAGTTCAGTTCTATGTGATATAAAAAACATCCCATACAGGCACATCCCCATACCCTGTGAAAAGATACTCAGTTTTAAACGAATGTCTAATTCTAATATAGATATTGTGGTCCAAGAAATTTACTGAAACAGAAGTGAACTTTAAAATTAGATAGATGAGAATTACAAAACAAGGGTATCACTTACATATTTGAGATGAAAAGAGTGACAAGTTCTGGTGGGACATAGTCAAACACTGGGTTCTGCACGTGGACCTTTGCTAGGATCTCACCCTCGGAGAACTTCATAACACTGTGTGGACTCACAAACTTGTTGAAGGCATCCTACATTCAAAGTAAAGGTACAAATGTAAGTAAAATGTTTACTTTCTCATTTTGTCAGTTTTCATATGAATATAAACATTCAATAGTTAAATGAATTTCAATGACTGGCATCACAAAAAAGACCATTTCACAATCTACTAAAACAACATTAGAAGGCATGAAAGAAAACTAATATTAAATGGAGCGATGAAAGGGAGATAACTCTACACACCTGGTCATATGAGCAGAGATACTGAGGGGAGAGTTTGAACATGGCTGCACAGACAATCAGCTGAAGACAAAAGTACCAACATTAATAATAATTTCAAACAAGAGTTAAGGATACGAGGATAACACAAAAACAGAATACTTTACTATTATTACAATTCAAAGACCTGTCTTGTACAAATCAAAATGGAACTACACAGGTAATCAGTGGTGATCAGCATAAGAGGTTGTTTCTGAACATGGCTACACATAGATTTGATGATGGCTACACATAGATTTGATGACATCTCTTTACATCCTAGAACCAGATACTTACCGGAACAGAATAATGCTTGGCAGCGAGGGCAATTGCATGACTCCCATTGATGGCTTTTAACCTGAAACAAAATGTCTTCTTAGAGTAGCATTTATAGGTTGGTGTGACCAACTGCAGTTCTCATATAGAATGGGTCTGAAGTATTCATTACAACACAACTGGTCAACATATCGGTAACAACACAGTATTTATACAGGAGAATGATGTGTCTTCAGTACATATATCAAAATAGACTGGGTACATAATCACAACAGACTGGGTGTACAATATACAAAATATATATCATAAATCCGAACAAAACAGTAACATATAACTTCTTCTTATACCTTCAGGATGAAATACATATATTCAAGTTGGAACACACATTTAATCATCATTTGACCTAGGACATAATTGATATAATGCTGTCGTCGTCTCACCCTCCATTGGCCATGACTGTATGGGTGCCAACTATGACCTTGTTGACCCTTGACATGATGGCAAACACCGCCGAATCTGTGATGACTGTTGTCTCGATACCAGACTTGGCTAGACTTACAGCAAGCTGTTGGCCCTGAACAGGATAATAAAACACTAGAGGTCTCATTATGTGACTTGGCCCTGAACAGGAATATAATACCTAACTTGGCCCTGAACAGGATTATAATACACTGAATGTCTCAATACCTAACTTGGCCCTGAACAGGATTATAATACACTGAATGTCTTGATACCCAGCTTGGCCCTGAACAGGATTATAATACACTGAATGTCTCGATACCCAACTTGGCCCTGAACAGGATTATAATACACTGAATGTCTCGATACCTAACTTGGCCCTGAACAGGATTATAATACACTGAATGTCTCGATACCCAGCTTGGCCCTGAACAGGATTATAATACACTGAATGTCTCTATACCCAGCTTGGCCCTGAACAGGATTATAATACACTGAATGTCTTGAATGTCCGATACCCAGCTTGGCCCTGAACAGGATTATAATACACTGAATGTCTCGATACCCAACTTGGCCCTGAACAGGATTATAATACACTGAATGTCTCGATACCTAACTTGGCCCTGAACAGGATTATAATACACTGAATGTCTCGATACCCAGCTTGGCCCTGAACAGGATTTTAATACACTGAAAGTCTCGATACCCAACTTGGCCCTGAACAGGATTATAATACACTGAATGTCTCAATACCCAGCTTGGCCCTGAACAGGATTATAATACACTGAATGTCTCGATACCTAACTTGGCCCTGAACAGGATTATAATACACTGAATGTCTCGATACCTAACTTGGCCCTGAACAGGATTATAATACACTGAATGTCTCGATACCTAACTTGGCCCTGAACAGGATTATAATACACTGAATGTCTCGATACCCAGCTTGGCCCTGAACAGGATTTTAATACACTGAAAGTCTCGATACCCAACTTGGCCCTGAACAGGATTATAATACACTGAATGTCTCTATACCTAACTTGGCCCTGAACAGGATTATAATACACTGAATGTCTCGATACCTAACTTGGCCCTGAACAGGATTATAATACACTGAATGTCTCGATACCCAACTTGGCCCTGAACAGGATTATAATACACTGAATGTCTCGATACCCAACCCGAGTTCATGTTACAGAAGTCTTCTGGCCCTGATGAACAATACTTAGAGGGTATCAATACCCAACTCTGCTACTCTAAACGCAAGTGTGGGGACTCAGTTAGTTAGAGCAAAGTGATAGCCGATACAAAGTAATCAGGTCTAAGTGTTTATTTCCAATGGCTGAGTCTCAAACCAGGAATAATGGTTCATATCCTTAATTTGGAAAGATTAACAAATAAGCCTTCTCTGCTGTCTGGGGAGGAATCTGGCGAAATTGTTGATAACAACTGGAGAAAGCACTCACGTGGTAGAAGGGAGCACACTCAACGACAATCACCTGGAACTTCCTCTTTCGGGCTGCATCCTGGGAAACAAATGAATAGTGGTAGATGCATGATCACAACATGAATCTCTGTCACAGTCAATAATAGTGCCAACATAAGATGAGTTGTGGTAGATGCATGATCACAACATGAATCTCTGTCACAGTCAATAATAGTGCCAACATAAGATGAGTTGTGGTAGATGCATGATCACAACATGAATCTCTGTCACAGTCAATAATAGTGCCAACATAAGATGAGTTGTAGTAGATGCATGATCACAACATGAATCTCTGTCACAGTCAATAATAGTGCCAACATAAGATGAGCTGTGGTAGATGCATGATCACAACATGAATCTCTGTCACAGTCAATAATAGTGCCAACATAAGATGAGCTGTGGTAGATGCATGATCACAACATGAATCTCTGTCACAGTCAATAATAGTGCCAACATAAGATGAGCTGTGGTAGATGCATGATCACAACATGAATCTCTGTCACAGTCAATAATAGTGCCAACATAAGATGAGTTGTGGTAGATGCATGATCACAACATGAATCTCTGTCACAGTCAATAATAGTGCCAACATAAGATGAGCTGTGGTAGATGCATGATCACAACATGAATCTCTGTCACAGTCAATAATAGTGCCAACATAAGATGAGCTGTGGTAGATGCATGATCACAACATGAATCTCTGTCACAGTCAATAATAGTGCTAACACAAGATGAATTATGGTTACTGTGACAATGCTGTTGGATGCATATTGTTTCGTGAGGTTATTCCTGCAGAATACTCTATATATATAAAAATGGGACTATATGGTTTGAAATTAAATTGTGAAATACTGAATGGTATTACAACAGCTCCAACTGATATATGTGAACTAAGAACACTTATGTTCACTGCCTTGCAACACAACCCTTATAATGTATCCAATATTGTGAATTGTGACCATCCTACCATGAATCATTTCATACCATGTCAAAAAGTATCATACCGTCTTACACAAATCAGAAGAAAGACTGCTACCTTTAAGAATGCTTCAACAGTTTTTGATTTTCCAGCTGTCATAATAACCTCATTTGAGTGAATGTGCTCAAGAGCTTGTGTGGCGATGTTGTCAGCACTGAAAGACAGAATCATACAAGTATCAGTTGAAAAATGCTTTTATACGAATCCACCACCAATACACATCACCAATACACACCACCAATACACCATCAATAAACCCCACCAATACACATCACCAATACACCCCACCAATACACCCCACCAATACACATCACCAATACACACCACCAATAAACACCACCAATACACATCACCAATACACCCCACTAATACACATCACCAATACACCCCACCAATACACATCACCAATACACCCCACCAATACACACCATCATGATACACCCCACTAATACACATCACCAATACACTCCACTAATACACCCCACCAATACATCCCACCAATACACACCACCAATAAACCCCACCAATACACATCACCAATACACCCCACCAATACACCCCACCAATACACATCACCAATACACACCACCAATAAACACCACCAATACACATCACCAATACACCCCCACTAATACACATCACCAATACACCCCACCAATACACATCACCAATACACCCCACCAATACACACCATCATGATACACCCCACTAATACACATCACCAATACACCCCATCATGATACACCCCAACAATACACACCATCATGATACACCCCACTAATATACACTACCAATACACACCACCAATACACATCACCAATACACACCATCATGATACACCCCACTAATACACCCCACCAATACACATCACCAATACACACCATCATGATACACCCCAATAATATACACCACCAATACACCCCACCAATACACATCACCAATACACATCACCAATACACACCATCATGATACACCCCACTAATATACACCACCAATATGCATCACCAATATACACCACCAATATGCATCACCTACCTTGTTTCAAGCTCTGATCTGAGTTCTCCAATAGCTTCTATAATTGAGGCCTACAAAAAACAAACAGGTGGGGATTTTTGAGGACGGACTCCAATTTTTCAGTATACATGCAGAATGACACTTATAGCTTCATAGTATCAAGGAAAGAAATTCAATTGAGGCATTACTGTAAACAATATCTAACGTAGATTATCAAGGTTAACTTATTTCCCTGTTTACGTTATGCAGAAGGTACTTAGATAACACATGTAGATTGACTCTTGAATCCCCTTACTTTTAATGTTGGAATATATACACTGTAATCATCGATTTGACCCTCAGCCAACAGCAGTTTCTGAAAAACAGAACATTGAACAAAATTATTTGAAATATTACACATATAATCATTACGGTTACTGCTAGTACTATAACATCACACATCACACATAATGCACGCATAGTTCAATTTTAGTGACTGTGATATATATATACTACAAACAAAAAGTATGGGAACTTTGATAGTCATATATAAACTTAAACGTGGTGAAGTCATTTATACACAAAGGTAAATGCAACTTTTTGTGTGCTTAATGGGCACTTAAACGACATGTTGGAACATGCAGTGAAGCAACTGATTCAATATTCGTTGAGTTTGAATGAAATGAAAAAATGTCAAAAACAGTGAAAAACAAGTCAATGTATTTTGTTTATGGTGTATAGCCTGATACGTTTCAAGTTCAAATTGCATGTGGTCAATGATTGAAGTTGTGTATTGCATATTGTCATTAGCAGACAGGCAGGCAGACATATAGGTGTCAATAAAACAGACACTAAGTCTATTACTGCATTTTTATTACTGCAGACCCAAGATGCTTGTAATCACAAGAAACATATTTTGTTCTCCAACTTCGACCACAGCGATAATCTTTGCACGCAATTCCTTGCTGTGTGTTTATGAGTCACCTTCCCGGTTCAAGCCGCGTGAACCTAATCACTGCGCATGTGCTATGGGCGCAGCGCAGCACAGCTGCTGAAACCACTTTTCACCCCAGTGCTGGGGTGAAATTAGTGAATAGTTTGAACTCTGATTTCACATCAGTGGGGTGTTTCATCGCGTTATTTTTCAACTTTACAAGTTGAATTTGCATTTTTAATAATTTGTTACTGTAAGTCCATACCGAAAGGTATCAGAATCTGCAAAGTTGTGTTTTGCGTTGCATGTGACCTATAACCAACTCTGTGTCAACCTAGAAAATCTGTGAATCAAGACACTAAACTGGTCTAACATATCAGGATTGCTGAACAGTGCTCACATGAAGTGATTCCTGTGGGTCACCTTCTTCTGATCGTCCTTGAGAGGTCCTGGGCAGAAAATAAGCGTATTTGATGAGAACCAATATCTAGTATAGCAATGGAAACAGTTGCCATGTCTTATTCTCATGATTTTTTAGATTGAACATCTTTTGCATGAAAATATCAATAAAGTACAGGTATAATCCAAAACTTTCAGGTGTTTGATTTCAAGCCAAAAACACATTGTCACTTTCACACTTGATATCAGGTAACATTTCAGCAACAAGCAAGGAAACCAAGAATGGGCCTCCAACACTCTCCCTATTTGGGCAAATGTACACAGACCTTTCATATGACTAGCTACCACTAGTCTAGAACCCACTGAGTGAACGGGAGCAGGACAAAAGCCACCCGGTCCAGGTGGCATTTGTCCTAGACCCTGAGAGAAAATGCTTCAAGAACCCCTTAGTTTGACTTGGCTACTCAACAGACTCTAATAACTAAGCAACCCCTTGACTGTATAAACACATACCTTGCATACTCTTCACGGATTATTTTGAGTATTCTCCGCACCATGTTACCAATAACTGTTTCTGTTGCTTCTGCTGACATCAAACGTTTTCCTTCTCCTCGAATTACTTCCATTAATTCTCTGTTCAAAAGGATAAACAGTGAATATTTGTGCATGACAAGGACATCTATTGCAGATCAGGTTAGTTATATTTTTTATCAAAGACATGATGCCACTCATGTAATATGTCAAACTGAAATTGTACACATTTTACTTTTATCATTAGGATATTTCGGAGGTTAAGAAGCTTTGTTTTCAAATAATCTTTTGCTGTCTTTATGGTATTACAAAACAACATATTATACATGACTGAATTACAGGATTTTTGTTTCTACATGGTAATATACAGTTCAACAATACTCCAACTTTGTATGTATTGAAAAATAGATAGCATTTTCATTGCGGGTTCAAAATTATATTATTATGAACCATAATCTTCACTTGATTTGTCTTGTGTTCAAGGTTAATTTATAAGCAGGCTAATGAAAGATGTGTAGGTGAGACAATACAATTGCGAGTTGGAGAACCGTTGCCCATTAATACTGCAATGTATGCGGTACATCAGCAGGAACTGATACAGACTCAAAATTAATGGTGCTTCCCCTTTGTGTATTATGTTGTACTTACTTTGCATTCGACCATTTTGTCAGTGAGATGATCCGCATAAGCAAATTGACAGTTTTACATGCAACATCATAGGAACCTTGTGTCAGCCTGCAAAAGCAACATATATTCTTCCGTACATATCTCATTGGTTAGCAATTGCTGAGAGGACATACATGCTAAAATACAAATGAGCTAAGAATTTGTTTTAGCAGTTGTGGTGAAACTACTAAAAAGCTATCGGGAGAACAAGCCTTTATTACAGGGGGGCAAGTTTTATTTCATCATAAAATGTCCATATTGTCTCCTTGAAACTTACATTATTTTTAATAAGATCTACAGACTGTCACATTGTTTCGTCATTTCTTCACTGCCCATACCCTTAACGAATGACCGACTTTTATTATTGTTTCTCAGGCTCATCATTAAAGGAATCACTGAAAAAATATATACCGGGTATGTATACGAAACTGTAATATTGTTAATTTTGTATGTTTGTCCAATTTGTACTTTTCATAAAGCTCTTATTTCCCATATGTCACACTTTGTGAGAGCAACATACACCTCAACAGACTAAGATTTGTTAATTATATGTTTTATAAATTACCCTTGTTTTGTCTCATTAATAAACGTTTCTATCCGTTCGTTTAGATCTTCTTTCTTCTCCATTTCTCCACTTGGCATGACGAAATTGCAGTTTTCTGAATTTTCTTTTCCCCGGATATGATTAGGGTTATTCCCCTTGGTGGAGACACAACCAATAGGAATTGATATTCAGTGCGATCCTGTAATATGTCAGCGCCCATGATACATTCGCGACATGATAAAGAGTGTATTGAACAAATGGAAACAATACAAATATCGTTTTGTCCCATGGATAGCTTTTAATCTGAAGGACAGGTTGTTACTTACCGCTAATGATTTATGTGTTGTCATCCTCCTAAAGTTTTCACATCGCTTTTAGCAATATCAAGCCGTGGGACATGGGCTTCGCGCTTTGTACCAGTATACCTGTTTTTAAAGCACCCATACCTTTGACGTGTGACTATCTAATCTTAACATTAAATGATATGCTGACAAATACAGATGGCATATTTCATGGAGGAAGATGCAATGAGTGTTGAATGAAATTGTTATAAAAAGTGATTTCAGTACAACTTCTTTTGTACAACTCCTCAAAACATATTGAGGCATTTGTGGTTTGCATGTGGAGTCACATAGTGAATGTTATTTTTGTTGTCCACTTAGATCTGTGAGAGAAGTACCAAAAGGAGCAGATGATGCCATTATCTCCAACAAGGCTGTTGCCAATTTTCTGCAATGTTTCTTCAAAAGCCTCCATGAGAAAGAAACATCACCTATCAAGGACAGACACACAATATTCAAGGAAAACCTTGACATCATGATGAAGCAGCTTGGTTTTGTGACTGAAAGACAGTGTAGTCTGTTGGAAAATGGGGGTCGAGGGGTGTTTGTGACAAGGGGCACAGTCCCAGCTAAAACCATTGTGTCCATGTACCCTGGTGAGGGCTGATTCTCTGCTTCTGCACCATTTATTACCGCACACACACACAAACACACACACGCACACGTACACATCTTTGATGCAGATTGATCCTGTTTTTAATCAAAATTCTTCATTATACATGTATTTGTTTGTAATTAGTAAATATACTTTTCAGGATATTAATAGTGTAAGACAACTGATCTATCATTTATTATGAATTATGTTGACTAAAGTATTATCAACCCAAATAATTTTGTTTTATCAAGACTTTGTTTGTTTTTTTCAGGGGCAGTGTATGAGCAATATGAACCAATATTTTTTCAAAGTCTGGGAAATTCATTCATATTTCGGTGTATAGATGGAGTCCTTATCGATGGAAATGACAAGAACTTGTCCAAACTCATTTACAAGTGAGGTAGCTTCATCCTTGTTCATATTCTGTATATTGATCTCACAAGATCAGATGTGTCACAATTATCATAAAGCATATATGCATCAAAGCACAAACAGTGAGCTGATTGAATACTTTCAGGGCAATGATCTTATTGTTACAGTGATATTGTCTGCACTTTCTGTAATATGCTTTGGACAACACAGAATTTGCAACCATTTGTAATCAAAATGCATATACTAATAACTGATTGTTAAATATGTAGGTCATGTCAAGGGCGAGACAGAATGGGTCCCTTTTTGTCGTGTGACTCCAGCTGGTTAACAGAGTCCCCTCACAATCCATTGGCTGTTGGCCAGTACGTCAACAACCAGTCTGCAAGTAGGTTCACTGAAGTACTAATATATCCGACATTTTAATTGTTTTAGTAAGCCATTGTAGATGTTACGATTTGTGAAGGGTTTATCGTAAAGGATACACAAATACGTGTAGTGTTAAGTAAAGGGGATCTATTCTAGAATCCTCCAAGGGGGAGGTAGTGTGCTCTGAGAAGAAAGAATTGTCACACAACCATTTCTGTTGATGCAGAATACCCAGCCAATGTGGCCTACCAGGAGTTTGACATCCCGAGTGACTTCCCCTTTCAGCTCCTCAAGTATATTCCTAATGTCCACTATGGTGCTAGTACTGACAGTATCACACATGACAGGTGAGATGTTTGCACAACATGTACACAGAAAGGCAAGATGCTGAAACAACAGTTGTATTATGGGTTTCACTTTAAAGCTTTAGTAACATTGGGGGTTGAGTCAGCAATCTAATCCACTCAGCTACCGCAGATTCCACAAGAATGACAGTGTGACAATCGGTAGTCTAGATCCCATATGATGTGTATCCCACTCGGTATTGACAATGCTCCCTGTCACACTGCACAACACCTAAACAGAAGGCTACCATACAAATCCCAGTAAGGATTACATGATATCTTGGCTGGAGCATGATACTCTGTTTCCACTAAGCAGATACAACACAATGGACATTATTACCCTTGATAACCCAAGGTGCCAGTGAGGCGCTAGAAGGTCATATGACTTATACCACCGGGTACCCATTTTATGCAAGGTGAACAGAGGCAATATTTAACAAACTCACTCATAAAAAGAATAGCTCTAGCATAAGTCAAATCTAGTAAAAGCATATTGCAATCTAATGCCACTTCTAACACACAGCAACTTATCATGTTTTGCTGACTGAAGGTGCTGTGCAGGGTTGTCTCCCTTAACTGCTTGTGGGTGTTGCCAAGTGGTTCTCACCATCACTTCAGACTTTTCCCCTCACACTGATCTGACATTCTGTGAGGTAGCTGGAACACGACTCACAGGAGTACTAAACCCAAACTCAGTCACTCATTGTACTTTAAACGTATTATTATGTGTAGATATGAAATGACAGATGATAGATATAGGTATTTTGTTTCAGACTGATGAGAGTTGTGGTGCTGGTGTCAACACGAGACATACAGTGTGGGGAGGAGCTGTTCTCTACCTACTTCACTGTAGTGCAGTAACCATGGTAACAATCATATACATGGACATACAGTGTGGGGAGGAGCTGTTCTCTACTTACTTGTGCAGTAACCATGGTAACACATCTTTTACAAGGACATACAGTGTGGGGAGGAGCTGTTCTCTGCTTACTTCACTGTGGTGCAGTAACCATGGTAACAAATCTTATACATTGACAGCTGTTCTCTACTTACTTCTCTGTAGTGCAGTAACCATGGTAAGACATGTTCTACATGGACAAGCAGTGTGGGGAGTAGCTGTTCTCCACTTACTTCACTGTGGTGCAGTAACCATGGTAACACATCGTTTACATGGACATACAGTGCGGGGAGTAGCTGTTCTCCACTTACTTCACTGTAGTGCAGTAACCATGGTAACACATCTTATACATGGACATACAACTAGAAATACAAGATTCAATGTGTGTGACATTGTGCCAGAAATATAGTCTATTAGATGACCAACATGTGCCATAGCTAGTTGTTTTCAGCATTTAAACGAATGCATGTGTGGGGTGTATCTTACCTAAATCACCAAAAGTCTTTTTCTTTGGTGGTTTGTATGGCAAATTCTGATTATATTTAGTGTGACTGAATGTTTTGTATGGTATTATTTATACAATAAAGTTTGTTTTTCTCTATGTTTGTTGGTTTATCATGAAACGGGGCCATGAAACTGATGTCAATCTTTGTTTGGTTAGTGGTGAGGATTAGTTTGGTCTTTCTGACGATTGACAAGGTAACACAATGTTGTTGGGGAATGTGTTTAGATTTGTTGTTGATTGTGTCTTATGCCCATCACGAGAACACATGAACCTCATATTTCTACACAGCAGTATTTGTGCAGATGCAGTTCATAAACACATACATGTAGGAATGTGACCAGTGAATTCTTTAAGAAAAATATAAGTGAGTGAGTTTAGTTTTAAGCCGCACTCAGCAATATTCTAGATATTGCGCCGGTCTGTAAATAATCGAGTCTGGACCAGACAATCCAGTAATCAACAGCATGAGCATCGATCTGCGCAACTGGGAACCGATGACCTCTGTGAACCAAGTCAGCTAGCCTGACCACCCGATCCCGTTAGTCGCCTCGTACGACAAGCTTGGGTTACTGGAGATCAATTCTAACCCGGACCTTCACGAGTCACAAAAATATAAGTGATATTGGGGGTGTTTTCACTGAATGACGTCCACCGGACCAGTAGTTTAGACTAGTCTCTGCCTCTGTCAACTGGTGATATGTTTGGTACTTGTTCATGTATTCCCGTAGGGCCATGAATAATTAGAATGCTTCGACAATTCAAAAAGTCGTTTTAATCTACTAAACTTGTCGTAAATGTTTTATATCTGTTATTATCAAGAAACGTTGCTTATTCATAGGCTGGCCAGAATATGGAACATGTACACAGGTAATATATAGACATACCCACACAAATTACAAAGACACGCACCCCACAAAGTTTGTTACAATCTGCATGGTTTACTGTTTTGGGTTAATTTTTAAACGTGCCGGGTGCTTTGAGCCACGATACAATCTATATAAGATTCTGTCTTTGTAATTTTTAAATGTGTTTTTTTATATATATATTTAAAGCGGGTACATATTCCACAGTTTTGTAGCTTCCTAGTGGTGGCCTTGGGTCGGCCTGATGTAGGTCAAACAACATAGTGTGCACGCATACATAAAACTAGAGAATGTAGCACTTTGATGCCATGTCTTTTTCAAGTACGGCGAACTTTGGCCTGCCAACTAAAATAGCTTATTTGATCCCATGTGAGACAACAGTGTTTTGAAATATAAACCCGTAATCTTGGCACACATGCATTCATTAACCGTGTCTCCCGGTAAGAACACTGCGAGTTGGCGGGTGTATCACGACACAGCTGTAACCTACACCTTCGTGGGGTCTGGTCACTATAGCAAATATCCCACCCTTTGCAGCGCCATCTACAATTTAAACATTTCGTGTAACTTTACACCCAACTTTGGTAACAACCCAGTTTCCTTCGCTTCATTGCCATCAGGTACTGGGGCTCACCTGAAGGTCGTGTTTTATGTTATTGTTTAGCCCCTTGTGGCTTGTGGCATGTTACTATGTACCCAGTTGTCGCGCTTTTAGGACGGCTGTGTGATATAACCGGATTGAGCTGGCTTAAATCAAGCAGTTAATTGTATCCAGACACATCGAGTGATCTTACACTAAGCTGGCACTTAGATTAGAACGCCAGCTTAACTTCATAACGCCAATCTGAACATCATATAACGCATTACAGCTCGCCTTTTAATGGTTACATTGCCCAGTCTGCCAATAATATAGTCTTTATAGAACTGCTAAACATTTCATTTCAGCTTGGACAAGATGATGCAATATTAACAACTTAATTCCTAACAGAAGACTTATTGGTTATATATCAACGACAGAGTCAGGAAAAGTGACTTTGAAAGCCACCGACAGTTATGTATGCTTGTTCTATGATTTTAGAAAGTACGTCGGTATAATTGGGTCGTACGCATCCCTGTTATCCAGTGTATTGCACCCACATATATCTCCTCTTACAGTATATACTCGGACTTTCTTCACATGTTACACACCGTAACTGGAATACTGTGAAAATCAGCTTGAACCTAACTCACTCACTCACATAGTGTTCGGACAGCCGTACATATAATATACATATATACATATTTACATATATACTCCGAAAGATTGTGTTCCTCATAATAAAGAAGTTGACATCCATAAAATCTCCCTGCCGTATAAATTTATCAATCCGTACAGTTGGAGATGGATGTAACGCCACAGCCGATTGACGTGGTTAATTGTCATCAATGAGGTGTTGCCGTTTTGGTAATTTTCAAATATGAATTTGAGCATGCAGGACGCTGTTCCTTTTTTTTAGATATCTAGGACAGACTCGGTCAACGCCAACAGGAGACACGTCCTTCCACTATTTCAATACTGAGTTGCTCCAGATCTGAATCACAGTGTCATAAAACTAATCAGATACAGCACAGCCATATCCAGCCCGAAGGTTGAATCAGGTGGTTCAGTAAGTGATTGACCATCACCCTAGTGGGTTATCGGTACACAGTGGGTTATTTCTTCAATTTACAATACAAATGTAGTTGGACAATAGTCACAGGTGCCCCTATACAAATATAAATTCAAATATTTATATGGCGACGATTTTCTATTACACTACACCTGAGTCCTTTAGGTTATCTATACAAAGAGCACTGACATAACACCGACAGTCATGTATTCTGTTGGGATAGCTTTGGGCCAGTCTATCGGTTGAATGTTGAAAATGAAATACATGTACGTGTTCATTATGTTTGATATTAGAGGGATCAGTTGTTAATTAACTCCCCACGTTAGAGAAGGCGACTCATGCATGACTGACGTCACGGTGGAACACCAACTTACAGTTGATTGTTTTGAACAATATGTTTCGACAATGAAACAATAACCTCTGTATATCAGTAAAGGTCAGAACAAAAGAGTGAACAGTGTATATGAAGTGTTTAATAAGTAGGCTCTTGTATATACACTATTTGTAGACATACAGAAACATTCAATTTGAATCCACAAAGAAATATATGAAATATTTATAAACTGTTTTTTATATAGTCATAATAACACAAAAATATTCAACAAGAAAGGATTTCATCATAACACAGACATTGTAAAGAATGACATACGTATACATGTATAATACCTGGCTATCGTCATTGCCGTAAAGTTGCAACGTTTGCGGACGGAGTAGAATATCATATAACACGACCATTTGAAATTAAGTTATATTTGTTTACATATTGCTGGATACACTCAACTTTGTAAACAATATATTGGCACATTTCGAAAAGAGGCTTTGGAAAAGTTTGGAAAAGTTAACGCCATTCTTACATGAATCTTTGCGTGGTCACCACTGCGCCGTTCATTCTAGAGATATCCACGTGTAAAACTGGGGTAATGGACAACAATTGTTGTTCAGCTATATGTTAATATAACACAAAGCAGGCGTTATATATCACAGTTGGACGCTGATTAGTGGCGCTAGGCCTATCTAAGTGGACGGATGCTAACATACTTTTGTCGGAATAAATATTCAGGTTGTGACCGTGACCTGAATCGTTCGTACGTCGCGTCCACGTAAGACGTTAGAAATGATGGGTCAGACGACATATTTCGTTATGCGTTCTCACATAATTATAGGAATAACCTTTTTGGTCATAAAAGAGCTATGATTCTCACACCAACTGCATACTATCCCGACGTATGGAGAAATAGCGGCGACGTCAATAAGATGGATGTCAGCTGGTCGTGATTCAAATTACACGATGTATGAAATATTCTTTACATGATAAATGAACTATTGTACATTATTCAAAATATGTTGCATATATCTGGGCTACGGCGAACAAATTGCCCTTGGAATACGTGGCAGATGCATAATTGTCCGTGTCTGTGTTCCACACGCTCCGGCTGCTGAGAGCAAGTCCCTGGTTCTTGTTCTCGCCCATGGTAACAACACACACAAACTTGTACCTGTGACTGAAACCAAGATCTTTGATGCGTGCTTTGATAACTTCAGACAAGTCTCTGGTCAGGTTGTTACATAGATTGTTGTCATATTGTTCTCCATCCAAGTACGACTCCAGCACGCGTTTCATCGTCTGTTCGGCACGTGAAGCGTTGAATTTGTCCTCCTTATCCGGACCAAGCCTATATGAGTTTTGTATCTTCACTGCAGCAAACATGTGTTTGGCGCCGAAAGACGCCCCGGATATGCTACTTCTTGACACATGGGACATACGTCTGCCATATTGAACGCTTTGTCGAGGTTCGATCATTCGGGACATCCTTCTGATCGACGGCCCGGACGTCATGCCTTCTCCATCACGAGGCATAATAGACATGCGCCGTGACGGTTGCTTGGCACCGTCAAGCTGCTCTAGGTTCTCCATGGTAAGTCTAGACATGTCTGCACGATTTCCTCAGTGTCGTCTGCTGCACAAGCAATCTGAAAACAAAGGACAGTGATTAATGCAAAATCTAATACGGATTAGGATTAGTTTAAATTAGTTCTATTGTCATTAAAACCGTTAATGACGGGGCAAATTACATGTAACAATCATACTCCCGCCAAGGCCATTCAGGATGGTTTGACCATAACACTGCTTACTATGTCACGACAAATTCATCAATTCCCACAACAATCACCCAGATAATTCTGAAGGCCAATCCTAGGCAACAACTACATATCTGGAGATCCTTCATCCAGATCTGTCACACCATATACCCACAATGAAAGAAGAGCTATCGGTTGCCGTCCTCTTGAATTGTGTCCATTAGTTTCAGATATTAGACACACAGAGATTGGAAGAATGGGGTTTTCCGATACATCGTGAGTCAGGAGTCTCCGAGGATCTCTTGCCACGACATTCACAATCACTAGATAATAACACGATCTGTAGGTGGAATTGTAGAACAGGGCAACTTCAGTGAATTGGCAATGGCTATCTTATACCAGAGGTCGTAGCATTTGGTCATTAAAAGGGGTACATCTATTATTCTAACAATGTCCATTAACATATTTATGAGGTGGGGAGTTTATAGGTTCGCGAACATTTAACCTCTTGGGTAAATCTTACGTTTAGGGCATCGACTTCCACTTTTCCTCCCACGTTGCTAGGGACGAGCCGTAGCGTTACGGTGTGACAGTTGTGTTTATGCTGTCACCAGGAGTTCATTTCTAATTACGTTATACAATACATTCAAACATACCAGCCACATAGATAAGGACGTGACTTTCTTTAGTTTGTGGCTATTGTGCGTTAGAGAATACCTTGCTGGTGGACGTCATCACCCTGTGCAGAAGACTATGGTACCTTACAGAATAATGACGGGTTGATTCAATGCACGTGTACACGAACATCACCACTAGTCAGGTGTGTGTACTGAAGGCTTTGAGAAGTGGATAGTGATATATATTAATGCCATGTAGCCTACAGGGCCGACATGTGAGAGGGGGCTTACACACCATACAGTGGGAATAGCTGCCACATATTGAGTTTACAACTGGAATTCATACATCTTCATTTATTATTTATTTGAATTTTATAAATAATAGATACACGTAGAAACGTGTGTCATCTCCTGATCATTTAGATTCTGCCTGGTAGCCGTCTGTGTAGTAGGGTTAGCGACAGTCGTGACGTACAGGCAGGGAGCATGTCAGTATAGGAAAATCAGGAATTCAATCAGTTAACGTCGAAATCGTCCAAGCCTCTATGGGACTATGCAGTGTTAGCTGGAATATATCATAATTAGCTAAGGGGTATGATTAGAAGAGCTGAAACACTATGTTAGTTGTGAGAACACGTGTCTATACTCACACCATACAGGCTGTGTTAGTCAACTCGATGGCTACAACTAAAGCCGGTACTCTGTTAACATGCCCGCGATTAAGCCAGGGATTGGTGGTCCACAACACGGCGAAAGTCCGGGCGTTCTGGCTCACACTACACGCTATTGTGACACACCGTGGCCTTTTGTTATGGAAAATAATAACTGAGATACTTGATTCACAACCTGTTTTGTCAACGGTAGATAGTTTGTTTGCTCTAGGCGTCTCGCGTGCGATCAAAGCACACATAGACAGGCTCAATGCTGGCTATCTAAAGTCTATCAGTCAACACTAACGGACACGTATTAATAATATACCTAAGTTTATACCGAGATGAAGAGTGCAAGCTTTTGGGAGTTGTTTCATTGAGATAAACAAATATACCCCTTAACTATCAGACACATTAAAAGGGGTTTGAGGATGGCAGTTGTTTGTTTGATTGTCCCAGTGGTTTGGTTGTAAGTATTATTTTTCACAAGGTAATGTTTCAAGGATATCGCCGACAGTGTCTGCATGACATGCTCCACACGGGGAGCTCAAACAACGGTTATATACGTTGTACATGCCTGAGGTCGGGTCGGGTCGAATCTGGTTCAGGCAAACCACGAGTGATGGGCACAGTGGTTCAGGGTCTAACTGAGGTGAAACGTCCGGGATCGGACCCGGTACATGTAAACCCTGGCTAGGAGAGGTGTCATAATGGAGAAGTAACGTGGACCAGTTGATTCTACGTTCGGATCAGATTCGAGTAATGTCTCTGACTTAAACAATGTTATAGGTCAAGTAAAGTTTTCTGTAATTTCACATATCGATCTCTAAATGCGTCAGTTCTTACTCATTGAAAATGCACTCGCAAATTTCCATTGAATTCCTAGCTCAAATGCAAAACAATATCGTGACGTCATCACAGTGGTCAGGTACTACTGAACAATACCGCGATTGTTCCACCCGATCTGTCATGTGGAATGAAACATGTTTGTATACAAATAAATATGAAAGCTTAGTTGTCTAAGTTAAGAGGCATTTGAGTTTGCATACGGTGATATCTTGGATATTCGGGATTCGGATCAAGATTCACCAAAACAGGTTCCATTGGCAAGGGGTGAACAATATATGAATAGATCATAAAAAAATCTCTGACGACACCTAGTATTCGCTAAAAGGTAAAGCATGTCCTGCCCGAGCCATTGGCTTCCCCCCAGTCACACAATCTGCATATAAACGTGAAGTGGTTGAGTATAGACGTATATGCATGCTGTTCTATAAGACCCCCCATCTATATTCCTGTGCTGTGGTTGTACGACAAAAACACTCAGACACCTAGCTATGAGTCACTGTATATCAGAGAACAAACAAACCTGTAATAGGTTTCTCGTGTCCTTGTGTACGTGTCAATATGTGTTTAAAGGATAAGTAAACATTACTTCTATAGACATATGAGTTACGTAATTACCGAGTTAGACGGTGAGGGAGTTGACAGAGATGGGGGTACGTGTTGATCGCCATGTCCTATTGGTGACCCACACGTTGTCAGTTGTAATGTGTGAAGCCATTAAGCCACTTACTATTTTATTTAGGTTGATGATGGGTGACTGAGCGGAGACTCGTAGGTTCTCGGGGTTGTCTGAACGTGAAACAAGGCAGGGATGGTCAGTTATGTATCACCTCAACCCTGTCGAGGCAACAATCTCCCTACGGAACTTGACCCGATCAGGCTGTCAAAGAGGGATTACTCTATATACAGTTCCACGAGTCGATTAGCTGTTTGTCTGAGCATGACATATAGAATGCAGCTGAATTATGTCTGAAATGACGTCTCTACAAACTTCATTATTGCCAAACAATGAGCCGTTTTCTTCAGAAAGATCATGGTTGCATAACTGTTCCCTTCACGTCGAAGAAAAGACATCATACAGTTTACGATTATTCCATTTTAAAGCAGATTCCTTCCGCTGAACTTAAATGTCAGTTAATTCTCATATACTTATGCTATGGACCATGAAAACTAAAATATTGTCAGTTATTTACAATCTACAAAATAACCAAGAAGGGTCAAGTGTCATCTAAAGAAAAGTATCATCGTATCGCAAGAACAACCAGAGAGAAACTAAAACAAGAGAAACAAGTAAAGTTTAAACTAGGAATAGTCAAACATCTTATTCCTATTTAGGAATAGTCAAGAATATGATCTGATGAGCACAGCGAGTTCAGTCTTCAGAGAACTTCCCATCCGCTGTACATTCCTGCAGTACCGACAATATAGCACGTCATACGGCACACTTCATTATAATATTCCTTCAAAATGTTTTATACACGTTGGAATCAAGACTGTGCCAAAACGTCTGCAATGTTGTTCTTGCCGAAGACAAAGTCAGACAATCATCTTGGGCATACCACGACAACGTGAATTGTGTATTGAGCTGGGTATCACTATAACCTATATGACCAAACACATCCTAACCACATCAACCCCTAACCGAACATGGGGCATACGACTTACCTCCTCCTCCTACTACGACGTTCTTCCCCTGAACTACGTGTACGACTAACCACCTTCAGACTCCTGTCCTGTACGACGCACGAGTCGTTGTTTTACTAAATGTCTGTCGCTGCTCAACACTGCCGTGAATGATCGGTCGCTATTGTGTAGCCCCTCACTTGGGACGACAATGGCCGTTAACTCCGCGACCCCTTCTAATCGGATCCTAACGCCAGGCTATAAGTGTACATGTCTCATTGATCTCCGCAACCAGTTTGGACCCATCTCTGTTGGCAAATGAATAACTATATGTTTGGGTCAGTCTCAGGTGCACTTCCATTGTTGAATCAAGTGTTGAATCACTCGGACCACTTCGCACGATGAATAGAGAATGGCTTATGTCCACTGGGAAAGAACGGCACTAACATGAAAGGTATAGCGTTTTAAGAATAAGACTGCGGGTTTGCCGATAGAGTGTGATTGAGAATTAAGTGTTATTTGTAGTAACTCGTCCTCTACGTTAATTGAAGTATAGGTCTTAGACCAGACTCCATATATTGTATTATAGGAGTGAGTGAGTGAGTTTTGTTGACAGTACTTCATGTATATCGCGCCTGTGTGTAAGAATGACATAAGGAATATAGCTGCTGTTCATCTGATTCTCAACGTAAATAGTCTACTCTAGATGTATATTTGTAGTGACCACGAGCGTTCCCAAAGGCCAGTGTAACATGGAAACTCTGCATCCGGACCCTGTGTTCATATCGAGGCTATTTTCAGGTGGTCTGCATAATACAGACGTACTGCGACAGGTGAAGTGGGTTAAACATCGCCATCAAGATTCGTGCACTTACATACGACGTGAAAGAGTGTGCGTACGTGCGTGCGTGCGTTTATGTCTGTGTGTGGATGGTTATACTAACACTGACAAGTGGTAGTCCACTTTGGCAAAATGCCTAGTGCCAGGCAGGGTAACAAAAAGTAACACCGTTTACTACGACGCAGCCGGCGATCGAACCTCCGACCCTGCACTCCCCGGGGAGACCCTCTATCCACAGGACCAGCGTTCTGCTATTACATATAAACATGATAATTATGGTGTTTGAATAACTTGAATGAAACTTTCTTTGAGTGT